TGCAAGAGTGAACACAGAAGAGTCTCCATGCACTTCCAACATCTAAGAAAACAGAAGACCTGACAGATTATTGATTGATGGCAATGTTCCTACAACAATAGAACAACTGATGCACCACTTATTTTATAAATACGATGTTATCTGAGTAAAAAACAATGACTATGCTGTGAATTTGTCAAAAATTTTATGTCAGATGAGGAGTCCTGTTCAGGCACATTTATGTTGGCTGCTGTGGCCAACTGTTGTCAATCACATCTGCAGGGAGAGTCTTCTTCCTGAAGTGGTCGTGAACAGCAGAAGCATTTAAAGCTACAGACTCTGAAACTGCCCTTTAGATCAAAAGACTCATTCTGGAAACATGTAAGCCTTTTTATTAATTTGCTAAAAAAGGGAAACACTATGGGACTTCTAAGACTCAGATAATGCATGACGTTTACCTCTGAGTGTATGTTTTTTTTGGTGTGTGTGTGTGTGTGTGTCAGGTTTCTCTTGCTTCCATTAGTCCTGTGATGTCCCCCTGCTCCTCTGCTGTCATCACCATCATACTAATGACGCCTACATCTGCTATCATGGCCAGACAATAAAGACTCTGCAGTATCATAATTTGACATCCCTGGCCTCTGTTTGTGGGTCATTCTGCAACACCATCATCGCCGTCATTATCATCACTGAGTGCAGGCTGCCATCTGAGTTCCCCCCCTGCTGTCAGCGCCATCGCTGAGCTCACCCTAACCCCTGGCTTGCACCAGGTCCAGAGAGGGTGTCCGGTTCCCGTTCTCTGCCTCCATTTCTCCCAAACTGCAACAATACGGCAACAATATCTCTGTGTTCACCTGTTAGCACCTGGCACTGCGGGCAAGACTCGCTGCCGAGTCCCCAGCAGCCAAACACTCTGCTCATCTCTGTCAGACGCCATGTGGGACGCGCCTTCCTGTCACCAAACCCAATATCCTACATACAAAACACACAGAGGCATAATAACCGGCTCGCTGCTCACCTGTCCACACCTTCTCCAGACAGCCGAGTCATGCTAACATATAGAGGATAAATGAAAAGCACTTAAGCAATCAACAAGCCATCAGGTAATTACAAAGGTTTGAAGCCTTATCTGCCATGTGAGACCTCTCAAGAAGGAAGCTAGTGAGATATCATCCATTAAAATAATGTTTACAAGAGACAACCTCAGCTTATATTGGTGTAAAATTTTATATTCGAATGCGGCGCAACTCTGGAATCAACCACTACAACATTTAGTATTTTAGAAACAGTTTATTTGTCCAGTTAGATCATCATGATTCTGCTCCAAGAATCACAGTGTATTTTTTAGCAAGAAAATGAACAAACAAACAAAATGAATATCACGATGTATCCAGAAACTCTTGAAACAGCGACTGAGACTGTAAATCTATTTGAAATAATGTTCACTGAGGTAACAAATCAACTGAGAAGTTGGATCATTTTCTCATTGACCTCTGAACAATCAAGCTTCTTTTGCAACTAAAGGTGTCGCCCCCTGCTGGCAATGACAAAGAATACAGGCTTAAGGCATCTCCACTTGATTTTCCATCTTATCTCACCTGTCTTATATACAGTCTAGGATGCAAGTGGACACTTACTCCAGCTTCAACATTGAACCAAAACCACAAACTTTTCCAAGTGTTAACCAAATGGCTTATCTTCCTCTACCTCTCATCTACCTCCCATCGACTCTGGATGCAAACATGGCTTTTAGTGTTAAAGTCCTGTATTTTACACCTGCGATCCACCCCAATCACCTCCCTGTGACTGCTGTGTGGTGCATAAAATACACAGTGTCAAAGATTTTTAAAAAATGTGGCCTACGAGCATAATCCTCTTGTTTTTTGCTTTTTTCTTTTTAGAAGTCATTTGTACTGTTTCATTGGTTTGCTCTTACAAAAACTACCTATGTGGAAGCATTTCAAAAATGCATCTTCAGAGAGAAGTTCAAACTTTCTAAACCTCACCCACTTGTTGAACACAGCCGCTTTCATTACCACGTCAGAAAACTGTGGTGGAAAGTTGAAGTTCGGCTGAAACAGACTTGTGGCTTAAATGACCTGTAGTCATTATCAGAAAACCCTCCTGTCGGGTTTTCCTCTGTGACACCCTGAGAAATGTTCTCATGTGATAATTGAGGCCCGAAACTACCTGGGGCATGTGAGAAGAAAAAAGAAAATGTAAGTATGTTACAATCAGCGGCCTTTTTCACAGTTTTGGTCGACAGGCTGGACTTGACCTTGAGTGGAAACAGAAAGAGTAGCGGTTCACATGACAAAACGTGCTGACAGTGGCAAAGATGAAACAACTAACTGAGACTGACATGTTGTTGCAGTTCCCTTCAACCTCAGATCTGATAAGGAGACACTTTACTGGGAGGACCTCAGGCCCTCCACATCCTCTTTGGCTGGTTGGCATGATTGGGCCTGAGTGAAACTGAGCTGGAGCCAAGTGAACTTATATTCTTCACTTTATTATTTCAGTAATTGATGTAACACCCATATCAATCATCCCAATTCACACTGCTGCAAGTGGTAACTGGTGCTTAACACAAAAAATGACCCCAGTTTATTTCACAGAAGCTGATATAGAATTCATATAGGGTGTGAGTTATTGTAAATGTCAGCATGGAAGCAAAAGTTTGTGATCTTACATCTACTGACATTTTGACATACCAATGTTGGCAGGTCCGCTCACACACAGAATAATGTTCTGTTATGCTTCACCAGACAGGCCTCCCGTCTCCTTTAAAGACGATACACTTTCACCACCACAAGTTCCCCGCTGTGTGTTTCATAAATGTTTATCCCACACCACTCCAGCCCCCTCCCCAAAGTTTACTTAGGATAGCTGTAAGCCCTGCCAACTCTGATGAAAGAGAAAGATTTTAAAAAATGAAATACATAATGCTTGCTTCAACATGTCGAAAGAAAAACTCTTTTAGAAAACCACAATTAACTCTTTAAACAATTCTCCACTGGGGAGAGTCAAAGAAAGAAAAAAAGAATTTTCCACTAAGACCAAGAGCAGGTTGACATTTTGGGCTTTTTGTGTAGCGCCTCCAGCAGGTTAAAGTTCGCTCAGATCCAGTGAATTATCTCGACTTTTAGAGGATGGATTGGCATTAAATAGAAAAGCAGAGCATTAGCGGTTTCCACATGGTGAATACTAATGGACTGGCCTACATTATGATTAATTGATGGCTGCATGAAAACTAATTGTTTTTCAATTGAGCTGGTTTTGATTATTAATGCAAATGTATAGAAAAGTAAGGCATGGATGAAAATAATGTATATATTATACGTACATACAATAGATAGGTTTTAATTTTCTAAACCTAAATACTGACAGTTGAAGCAGGATATATTTTATTTCAATATTTACTCATTCATTATGGAACAATGGAAGGGAAACAAAGCATTACAGACAGTCCTACATCTCCCTTTCAAACAGACAGAGAGTGAGAGTGGTAATATTCACAGTAAGTAGAGGAGAATGTAATGCTGCACTAAATTACAGTCATTGAAAGCTTGTATGGTTACCCAGCGATCTATCACTGTCACACAGAGAGCGAGAGGAGGAGAGAGAGCAGACAGGCGCCAGGCGCAGCAGGATCAAAGCAGGAACATACCTCGGGCAGAGAAACAGTTAACTCCATTTAACCAATTGTCCTACAGAGAGACAGACAGTGTGCTGCTGCAGGCCCGACAGCAGTTCCCATAAGAGGGGAAAAAACTCTCACATATTGGGTTTCGCTGAAAATGATTTGACTTGATTTGAAGAGCTGCAGAACAAGGCCAATTTGGACGGGCCTCTTCAATGGGCCCTTTACTATGTCTCTCAAAGGGATTACAGACAATGAACACAATAGGCTGAAATATGGCCAAAGACAATTTGATTACAGGCCACAAGATAGAAATTTACAGTGATAATAACTCTTAGGAATAGAAAGAGCGCTGTAAATTGCAGCCCGGATTGCCTTACTGCTTTAATGAAACACGGTGATAAACTACTGTCAACGTATTCTCAAGCACAACTTTCAGATGAGGCCCTAAACAGGGAGTAATGGCACCGTTTAATTGCTGCAACATAGAAAGAAAAAAAAAATACAGTAATAGTGAAAGTTCTATGGCATCTATCTGGTGAAGCTTTGCGTCTGATTTTTGTTCAACTATGCGTGAACTAATTTATGGGCAAGCTGTGAACACAACAATGGTATTTATGACTTGTCTGTTTGTATTTTGTTGTCCCTGATCAATACTTTGTAACATGGATTCTGGAAAGCGCTCTATAAATAAAGATGATTGTTTTTGTTTTTGTCACACCATATGTAGTAAACTTACTGTCAGAAAGTTGCCTATTGCACATCTAACACACATGAGCATGCATGCTTGTGTCCACTTGATTTTTTTGTGGATTGGCTGACCTAGAATTTCATTGCACTGATAACTTGTTAACTGCTGCATACAACAATAAAGCCTTTAAATCCTTTTGCTCAAACATCCAGGGAGAATATCTGACTCTTTAGCTGCTAAAAGTTCCACTATGCAGTAGTTTTTTTTTCAGCAGCTGCCTGTTGCTACCACGAACAAGGTTGATGAGAACACTGACAGTGAATCAAAAAAAGTTGGGGCCATAAAACCACATCATGAGTTGTTCCATAGAGCTGAAGGAAACTTGTGTAATAATTATCTTTGAGTGCAAGCAGCATCTTTCATATTAGTCAACAATCCAGTGCTAATATAAAAATATCAATTAGTGCAGCTTTAAAATTACAGTAGCCTTTATTAGATTTAATGTTAAGGTATGTCCACTTCTGACCTACCTTACATGACATGACTCCGCGCTCTGCCACTGATGGGAGGTTTACATCTGTCAAGAACCACTGCGCACGAAATGGACCACAGCGCTGTCATTACAAGCCTGGCCTATCAGAAACCGATTCATCCGAATCACGTGGAAACATCTACAGACCGATTGGCAGGCGGCAAGTTGAGAGCAGAACTTATGGCACTTCACCGAAGGGGAGGCAAGACCGTGCGTAAAAACTGAAGTTTAGCACGCAGCTGCGCAACATCGAAGGAAGCTCGGCACTAACACTGATCTCCTCAAGTGAAGACGCCAAAAACATAAACAGTGACGGAGAGAGGGGCAGGAAAGTTGGTTGTATGGCACCGCAGTCGTGCGTAATGAATCCTGCGCAGGGATCACCGCCCTCGGCTGCTACAGGGGAGACCTCACCGGAGGATAGAGTCGCTGGTGGCGTCGGAACTGATGAGCTGGACTTGTCACCTGATCGAAGATGCAAAATCAAAAGCTTAGATCTGCCTTTCAGTGTAGAATCCCTCATATCAGACAGGACGCCGTGCAGAAGCCACCACTCCCCGGAGCCCGGCTCAGGCTGCGTGCGATCGGAGGAGACCGAGTGTGCGTCACCGAGGGGACTTCATCGGTCCAAGCCGGAGGTGATGGACCTGAGCGACAAGGAGACGGGCACCTGGTTTCAGGGTCCTTACGCATCCCCTACAAGTGAGTGTAGGAAATTATTTTTGTTTCTTTCTGAGAAATTCTGAGAAATTATTTTCAACCGACTAAAGCTGCTGTGAAAAACAACCTCTCGCGTAAAATAGTGGCTACAGTAATTGTGTAAAGTATTACATACTTTAAATCTTACAAAAGAGCAGTTGCCCACACAGAAGAGGAAACGATTGGGGAAAAAAAAGTTACGTTTTTAATGATTTCATGAAAAAATCTTGCGAGGACTGGAGAGGGATTTAAAACCTTAGCAATGTGGTGACTTTAAAGGCTGCAAGAACTGCTTCTCTAACCTAAATGCAACCTGCAGCAGTCCTCACTGTCTGCAGCACAATGTAGTTTTGGATATTTCCCTCTTTTTGCTTCACTTTAGTACATGCATCATGCTAAATATCTAAAAAGAAAAGTGTGGCTGTAGTTGTGTAACATCGATCAGCAGTGTTTTATCCCACTTACGTGACATTTTAAATCTACTTGCAGGACTTCCCAGCCCGACCCCGTGCAATCTACGGAAACACAAGAACAACAGGAAACCCAGAACTCCCTTTACAACCTCTCAGCTGCTTTCTCTGGAGAGGAAGTTCCGTCAGAAACAGTACCTCTCCATCGCGGAGAGAGCGGAGTTCTCCAGCTCCCTCAGCCTCACAGAGACCCAGGTTAAGATCTGGTTTCAGAACCGCAGGGCCAAGGCCAAGAGACTGCAGGAGGCCGAGCTGGAGAAGCTAAAGCTGGCCGCGAAGCCGCTGCTCCCGGCCTTCGCCTTCCCCTTCCCACTGAGCGCACCCGTGGGCGCACCGGCCCTGTACGGGGCCCTGAACGGACCGCGTCCTGCCTTACCCGTCCCGGGACTATTTAGTGGACCATATGGGATGTACTACTTGTCTTAACTCTCACTAACTTTGAGCTGCTTCTCTGGGAGAGCTGCCTTTAAAAAAAAAAAAAGAAAAAGAAAAAGAAAAAAAAGCCTTCATACAGCAGATAACCAACATTGCAAAAAAAAAAAAAAAGTCCATCCTATGAATCAGTGTGTCTGAAATTACAAATTAAATCTTGTGTGAAATATTTTTCGTTCTGACAAAGGTTTACTGGTGCGAGAGTAATGTTTTTACGCAGCACAGCAGTCGGTTCATTCAAGGAACAGAAACCAGAAACATATTTTCACTCGACTGTAATTCTCCAGAAATTCTAATTAATTTTCAGTAAACAGATTTTAAAATGTATTTTTACGGTAAATTATTTAACATGGTCATTTTTGCAGTGTATTCCGTAAAATCCTTTCCTTTCCCATGGCGGACTCTCGCTGAGCTCATTTTAAATTTTGAAATGTCATTTGTACTGTGAGCTTTTCTGTCCAAACACACATATTCCGGAAATACTTTTTCCAAGTAATTTTTTTTTGTCACCAGAGAAAATGACAGGATTATTTAAAGGCCTGCAGCTTGGAGCTGGAAGCAAAAACTCTGAGGAGCCATTGATGTTTTTTGTTTGTTTGTTTGTTTTAAATTCCAATCTAGAGGCCTTTGGAAATTACTCACATTTACAGGACAGTTGTAATTTAATTTTAGGGGTATAGAAAACACAGAGAAGCATCAATGGTATATTTAAAGGAAAACTTTTAGGGGTGGGTTAAAAATATTTCTCAGAGCTCTATTGTCCAAAAGCTGTTAGGAAACACATCATTGGGCCACATAGTTGCACTGGCTGACATGTTTCCTTATTGCTAAAAAATACAGGAACTGTAGTTTATTGCGAAACAAACCACAAATAACTTCACACTTTTCCACTTTAACTTTTCAGAGATCTGAAAGTGATGACTGTTAATAGTTTGTTTCATTGGATTTGTGGACGTTATTAACAATTTAATCCCCCACTGAGCGAGGCCCCAAAACTCCTTTTGAATAATCTGAGGGACTTAGATAAGACTAATACAGCCCAGTCAGGATTTTTTTATAAGTTAAAGAGAAAGAAAAAAGCCTCATTGGTACAGAACCCCTTTCATCTCCAGCTTCACCGTCATTCAACTAAAAGCACACAAATGTAGATACAGTTCAAGTATGTCCATATTTAAAATATGCGGGTCTTCGCAAGCAATAACACATCCAACATCCACCAAACAACTATCATGGAACAAAATCTGAAGCGCTCATTTGTGCCTTTTAGTTGCTGTTGTAATTAAATTGTCTGTAATTTTTTTGTATATTGAAAACTGTTTACCTTTTGCGCTTTAGCTCTTAAGTGCTGCAGTGATTCAACTAAACCAGAAGAACCTTCCTCGTGAATTTATTATAACAATCGCCACACACAATTTCTTTGTTTCCGACTTGTTGACAGATTTCCTCATTTACAAATCAACTATAAATCTGCTTTACTCTTGTCATTACCTCAAACGGAGAATGTTTTTGCACAGATGGTAAAAGAACTTTGCAAGACCTGTTCCATTACTAAATGTAGATAAAAGTCCTCGGCTATTTTTGCAAACCCTCAAAGTGCTAAACGTGACTGATGGACTGGCATCAGTCATTATTGTACAGTGTATTTTATATTTCATGGGTGAACATGTGTTTTGTACAATTATTAAAGTCTATTATGTAAATTCTGATATTTCTCTCATTTTTTTTTGTCCTCACAAAACTACTGACTGATCACAACCTTTTGAATTTTAAGTCAAACTTTCCACCAGAGTAAACTGGGTCAACCACATCCCATACAGTGCACTTTGTAACTTTCCTTGGAACCTGACGCAACAACACTATTTTTCACCACTACAGCTGGTTGTGTCTGCTGACAGGGGAGATAAGTGAGATGGGAGCCTTGTAGCACAAAAAGACTAACCAACAGTCTTAACCTAAATTAATTTCTATGCACATATCTCTCTTTTTTGGCAAAAAAAACCAAAAACTTTTATTTTAAGTTAAGGACACCTATGACAGTAAATATATTTTGTTGAAAGGGTATAAAGTTGTAAATCTTATAGAACAGTATACAAAAGATTCCATTCTGGTTTTTCATTTCCTCCTTCCCCGCCGTCCTCTGAAGCCTCGGACGGAGCCATGACCGAAGCATACGGCTGAAGGAACCCTGAGAAAAAAGAAGACGGCTGGTGAATTTTGGATCTCAAATTGTTTACCGTTTGAATAATAAAAACTGTCGTAAATACTATGAAAATATCAATTCACATATATTTTTTTTAGATATTATTCAACTTAAATGACAGGACTAAACAATTTAACTACATAATTGCAGAAGTTTACCTTAAAAAGACAGAATTCTCTTATCTTTTGACTGAGAACTTAAAATGTTTACTAAATTCACAGAGTTCACATTCAATCATCATCTTGAAAATGGCTGATTTAGTGACTTTTAGCACAGTTCTTTTTAGCAGATTTGTTTAAGGACTAACCTGTAGGAGTATTGTGGTTTTGGTGGCGCGCTGCTTGTACTTTCTGAGCCCTGAGCTGAGGCAGAAAGCTCCTCGGTCGAGGCCGGCTTTGCCATGCGAACAGCTTCTTCCTCAGACACATGTGTCTCCATGGATTCCTCTTGCTCGGGCTGGTCTGACAGCACATTACACATAACCTCACACACACCCTCGGACTCGCACACATCGTCCACTACTTCCATGGCTGCATCCTTCTGCTGCTGTGTCTTCGTCTCTCGGGTTCTATTAATCGAGATACGGTATTTAAAATACATATACAAGGCCATATAAGGTAGCATGTAAAGCCTTAACATTCATTTTACTGTTTCCTGCATTATAATATATTTTAAACAAGTTGTGTTTTTACAGGCAAGTTAATCCAAGTGTTTCCAGAGAGCAGCAAAGTGAATCTCACTCTATGCATTTCCTGATCTTCTCATGAAAATAAAAGACAACTAAACAAAAGTAAAAGTGAAAATAAAAACATTACATTCACTTTGTAGCAGTGTGTCAAAAGATGCAGTTCAAAAACATAAATCCTCTTTGCCCAACACTGGCTCAACTAGACTGAGACCATAGTCAGATTTATACTGACATTTTGCTGCCATCTAGTGGACAATATACATTAAGCACAGTCTTACCCTCTGTCCTTCTTGGTTTTGTCAAACCTGAAGTCCGGAGGATACTTGTGAATTCGTATTAGATGGTCTTTTCTGTGTTTACTAGTCCTGAACTTCTGTCCACAGCCCTCCACCAAACACTGGTACTGAAAAATGAGAAATAAGTGTCAGGAAAAACATATCTTTTAAGCATTTGTCTGGAAAAAAAAAAGTCACTAAATGTACAGTTTTTTTCTCATAGCTCTACTACTTTGACCCAAAGGAGTTTTGGGGAGTTTTTGGCTTAGATCATTGTTGACTTATGGTGGGCTAATTTTAAATGCAATATAATGCCTCTATGGAAACAGCACAACCATGGTCAGAAGCAGAAGACAGACCTAACAAATTATTTCAAATACCTTCTTTGCAGTGTTACATAGTTACAATGCCAGAAATCATTAAAAAAAAAAAAAAAAAAGTTGTATTTTTAGAATTATTTATTTCACAAAAAAAACCAACAACCCTAAAATCATATTGTAAAACATTTTTTTTACAGAGCCAGCAGATACAAACACCACACACACACAAAAAAATGGTGGTTCAACACACTACAGATATTTAAATCCTATCCATTCTCTGAAAGCACAGCCTGCAGTTCAGCCAGAAAGTCTCAGTTTTTTTTTTAAGTGAATGATGATCACAGCTGCGTCACTAATGGCTTCTCAGTTGCGCTGAGGAGTGCAGAATTTTTAGTTTTTCACTGAATTTGGTTATTGCAACTACTTTGTCTTTTTTTCCACAGTTTTAATTGCCACATGTAGCTTAGTTTTGGTCAACAGAACTGCACATCACAAGGTCTGCTAAAAATGTGAAAATCTTATGATGCTTTCTGTTTTTACAGTTTCAGAGTCTGATAAATGGTCTCATTTTCATGATTTTTTTTAAAGATAGCATGACTTTCAAACCTGCCAGTGGGCTCAGTGGGTTAAAAAGGGAAGCATCGAACAAGTAAAATGTCACGGGAGAAGTTTGTTTTACCTTTGACTTACCATGTCTTGCCTCTGGGCGAGGATAGTAAAGAGAGAGTCGTGCCACTCCTGAATGTGAATGTCCAGGAGCCGGGCACTTGGCAGAGAGCGACGGCATGAACAGCACACATGTCGGTGGAGGGAGTTATAGTGGTGTTCATACTCCTCCAGCGTGCTGAAGATTGAACTGCAGCCTGAGATGTGACAGGCGAACTCTGACACACTGAGACAAGACAAGGGGAGGAGGAAGGTGACGCACAGCATGACCCACATTGACATCACTATTAATGGTAAATTTCATGGAATAACTTAATGTAGGAAGCACTTCGATATCTCAGTTTAACAACAAGCAGTGGCAACAATAAACCAAAATATAACACAGTTATCGAAAATGTGGTTCTCACTTTCACAATTATAGAAAACTTTCATTACATTCTGTTTAGTCTGGTATTTCATTTCAGTGCACATGTTTATCATACTAGTTACAGGTGTCTATAATTTAACCTGTATCAGCACTGAAAAAAACATATTCACGTATAACATTTTTAAGTCACTGACTCAATACGATTATACACACATTTCAGTGTATCCAAATTAGGTAGGACTTTTACTTTATTACTGAACTACACACACACCCACACACCCACGCACGCACACACACACATACACACTTGTAAATACTCTTTATGTTCTTTGCTTTTCTGTAAACAAACAGTCAACTTCTGTACTACAGCCACATAGAAGCCAATAAAAAAACTATAAGTTAGACCAAACATTGCCATAACTTGGCTTTCATACCTGAGGGTTGGCTTGTCTTCTGCCTCCGAGATGTAGAGGTCTTGCAGGTACATGTGCCTCTGAATGTCTCCATCCTGTGAACAATCATGTGTAGGATAAATCCCACAATTCCCCTCCTGACCCCTGGATATTGTCTTTTTTTATTTTTGTAACTCTCACTAATCTTTAAATAGCAATTGAAATTATTTTACTGGTGGAGGGAAATCAAAAGAAGAGGTTTTGAGGTATGTTGATGTCATATTCTGACAAAATGTGACAGTTTTTTCAGATGAACATATATATAGGAATTTCTTTTTTGCTTACATGAGAGTTATATAGAGGGCTATGAAATATGTGAAAGTGTAAGAGTAAGACTTTTGTTGAACTCTTCTCTACAGTAGGCTTTGTATCCTTGGTGACTGGTGATCTGACATTGTTGTCAAAACTTAAATATCAATGAAAATAAAGTTACAATGAAGCATAGTAATAAAAAAAAAGTTAATTAAAAACAACAACAACAACAATGAAATATATTTTCTATGTATGTTATCTAACATTTATGTTACATCTAAAGTAAGTACAACATAACATTTTAAAAATAAAGTTAATCCTATGTAAGGGTACCAAGTTTGCATTGATCAAAATGACCCTGGAGGTAGATAGTAGATTTTACATTTAGTTGGCTAATAACAGCTCGTGCACATGTTCTATTGATAATAGCATGTATTTATATCAAAGCCAAATAGACATATTTCTTAATGGCCGTGTCTTCCACCTTTTTGCCCCCTGTTACAGCGGTTTAAACAGGTTTCTTGCTGTATTGTTACCTCAAACAGCTCGTGGTCCCGGTGCAGGTGGAGGCGCTGCGGGGTGAAGCTGAACGGGTTTCCCTCCTCAGTCTGCCTCCGCTGCTGCTGCTGCTGCTCCGAGTCGCCTGTCAGACTCTCTTCATGGCAGCTTCTAACCGAAACATCTCCCGCAGTCAAACGTTGGACCACTTCTGGCTGCAGCATCGTTTCATGCGCTCCTTACTTTAAAGTTATCCAACAAGTTCAGCTGCCGGGGAGCAGTCATCTGTTTTGGTTGTGTTTGTCGCGGGATGATGACGACATATAATAGTTTTTGGGCTGTTGACAGAACCAAAATGGCGCCTTACCGCCACCAACTGGACAGAAGTTATATCAGTACAAGTGGCCACCATAGACTAAATATTAGCGCATTAATTAAACTTCAGCGCATGATAAAAATAAAAATAAAAAAAAAACTTATCAAAATGAATAATTTTGAGGTAAAATGGTGTAATATTTTGACAGTACAAGCCTCATTTCAAAATTTCACATTTAGTTTTATAATAACAAAGCTGTAGGTTAGTATGATTTAATTACCCTCTGAATTTCTTCACTTAATGATACTTCTTGTGTACATGTTATGTTATTTACAAAATATACATTTTAAAGTAGAATACACATTGTTCTTAAAGGCGCGTCTTTTCCTGGTTTGCTCTACAAATAAACTCAGTACAATTAGAGTATAATGAGTTGTATTATATGTAAATCTGGACGGTTGCTTAAGTGATGTTTTTAATTGCTCATAAAGCTCATACGATGATTATCGTTTACATTTCTTGAGATGTATATGTGCAACACTTGAACATTTAGCCCAGGACATCCACCTAGTTGAGACATCACACTATGCCTATCCAGCAATTTTTTGTTTGTTTGTTTTTTGACTGCAGATTTTACATTGTTTAGTAGTTTGTTTCCAGAGATATCCAAAGTAAATTTTATCCCTATAGTCTGTGCAAGAGATTTAAATAAATCAACAGCAGGTAAATTGCCTGTTTGGTCAGAACTACATGTTTGTTTGTGATTGAATGGGTGGAGAGGCTGCGTTGTTAAAATACATGTGTACAGGAACACTATGAGAAATGGTCCAGCAAAAAAAAAGGTCTGGCAGGAAAAATAGTAGTTACTGGATGAAACTCTACTTCAAAGGAGCTGAACACACTCCACGATTTTGTAATTTTTTAAAAATGATTTTAAACCCACTTTTGTTTCACTATTATTATTGTTGCTGTTGTTTTAAATTGTTTCTTCTGGTTTTGATACCAAACACATATTACTGCTCTGTCCCATTTTGCAACAAAAATGTCATCTTTATGGTAGCTGAAAATAATATCTGTTTCCCCCCTTTACAAGTAGTAGTTCGAGCACCTTTACAACCCATCCTAAAATGTCTGTGTGGTGCAAGTGATGAGAAAATAAGTCACTCAATGTCTCCTTATTCTATGTTTTAGTTGCAAAAGGTGACTTAAACACTCTTAACCAATGAGCAAAGCCTGGGACTCATTTTACCACTAGATGGTGACAAACATTACAATGGGTTCCCACCAGCTCCAGTGGAGAGCTGTTAAAGTACTAGACAGTTTCATGTAATTTTATGAAGACAAAATGTCTTTGTTGTCTTTCAACTGTCCCTACAGCTTTTATGGTAGCTTGCAAGAACAATTATGATTCATGGAAAAGCCTATTCTTTTCAATAAACCGCACAAATAACTTTTATACATTTTCCTAGCGTGGCCTTTCCTTTTTCCACTGTTTTATTTAATCTTGCCTGCATCTTAATTTATCTCACTCAGCACCTCCCACAATTCATATTCATCTTTGCAGGAACACTGTTTAAGTTTTTACAGGCTCGGGTTGTGACTCATGTGGTTTCTCAGCTTCAAATGGTAATTTTCAGGATATTACACAGCACAGAGGGGCGGAGAGCTGAATCCTCCTCGGTATTTCCCTCAGACTGCCAAGCACACAATGACAGAGAACGTCTGATAGAGCAACATGTCTCACTCTGGATATTTTATATGGATTTTTCTGTCCACATGGGGTAGGTTTTTTTTCTTTCTTTCTTTCTTTCTTTCTTTCTTTCTTTCTTTCTTTCTTTCTTTCTTTCTTTCTTTCTTTCTTTCTGTCTTTTTATCTCACAACCCATCTCTGATACTTGCAGGAGTAATTGCAGGCGATGTGAGGACTTTACCTCATGTGGTAAAATACCAAACAGTGATACCTCAGAAGTTAAAGGATTCATCTCTTGTTAATGATGCTGCTACACATGAGGTAACACACATTCTACTGTACTATTGTATCGCTTTATTGAATTTTTTATTTATTTTTTAAATCTTTTGAAAAATGCTTCAAAGTCTCTTCTGTTCTGCTCCCCCGTTTGTATGAATAGAAATACCCTGATGTACTCCAGTACTCTGTGAAGATTGCAGGGAAACACTACACTCTGCACTTAGAAAAGAACAAGTGAGAAAACTTTCAATGTCTATTTAGAACAATGTTTTTAGGGTATGCTTTTTTTTCTTTTCTTTTCTTTTACTGTGAGTTCACACATCCTGCACTATCTTTTTTGAACTGTCAGTTGCATTCTTTTATTCTTTTCTTTTCAGACATCTTGTTGGGAAAAACTTTTCTGTGACACACTATTCTGATCAAGGCACCCCAGTCACAGCGACTCCAGATCTTGGGGTACGTATCATTTAATTTTCTCATTTGTATTCGGTAAGTTTGTCAGAAAGATATCTCTGTATTATTAGCATTTGATGTATTTTCTTGTGAGTGTGTGTATTTAGCTAAAATCTTGTGTTTCATTTAATTAGTATAAACTACCAAATAACTATCTTACTGTACACTTTTGAATGAACTGAAGGCAGGATATCCGGTGCCACTCACCCACCCAGTTTTAGTGGTTTTGAAACATTTAATTTCCTGTACCAAGTCTTTTTTTCACTTTTGTAAAATGCTGGTGTTATTATTTTATTATCATTCTAAAAGCACAGCCCTGAACTGTTAAGTATAAGACACATGGTTTTGTAAAATGCAAACCTTCCATTGATAAGTTTGACCCGGAAACTTGACCCACATTTATTCTACAGCCTGCAGTCATCATCATCATCATCACTCATTAAGTCACGTCAAGAACATTCATGCAATACATTCCCAGTATTTTCAGCTGATTTCAAAATATCAGATGACATTGAAAAGAAGTTAAGTTTCTCAACTACAAAGTTCCTCATTATGAGAGATGACACCACTCACACTGTGTCATGTGGAGGAGGAAATGACATATAAGGTTAAGATCATTTCTTCCGCTCAATTGGACACGTGTTGTTCATTATATACTGAATATGTGTAATGTATATTCCTCGAATTAGACCACACCATCCACTTGAAATATTTCGAAGATAAGGTAAAATCAAATCCCTCGTTTATTTCTGTTACAAATGATGGATGTCTGTTCAGGTTCACTGCTACTACCATGGACACATTGTGGGAGTAGAGGACTCCTCTGCCAGCGTTGGACTGTGCTCAGGAATAAGGTGAGTAATGCTGGCTGCAATTTTTCTTTCTTCTTGTAGCTCTAATTACAAAAAGGTTACTGTTTCCCTAAAAGGAGAGTCATACTTAATTAAGCCCATGGTGATGCGGAACTCTAAGTCTCGTGCTGTGACTCATAAAGAGTCACAGGAGTCCAAAGAGAAAATCAGCATCCATGTACTCCAGTACAAAGCCCATCAAGACTGCATGTAGCTCTGCGTCAGATCTGTATCCCAATCTTGTAGACCTCTCTTATTGAGTGTCTTGTGTCTGCATGTCAGCGTCACTAAGGTGGAAAGTAAAAAGAGAGTGGTATAATTAGTTGAACTGAGATGTTCAAGAATTTGATGTGCTAAAGAAAAAGAGTTTGTCCCCTCTAAAGTTTTTGTTTTCCACTGCAGGGGGTTTATAAGTCTCCAGGATCAGATGTATCTTATTGAACCTCTGGCCGAGGCCGAGGCGGGACAGGAGGATGAAAGACAGAACTCTGATGCTCACAGCAATGAGGGTCTTCATGCCGTTTACAACTACAAACACCTGAGGAGGAAGAGGAGCTCCTGTTCCCATGGAAACAAAACCACTTTCTATGATCACGGAGCTCGTCCGTCTGGACTGTTCCAGCTCGGCAGTCTGGTAAAGACGCACAACACGGGCACATACGTGATTTGAAGGATACAGCTGATATAGTTGGACTGATATTGCTGCTAATATTTTATGAAGCATACATACGTTTGACAATTTTATGCAAAAAAAGTACAAATAACTGTACCTCTAAATAATCCGTTCTGCATCAGTATTTCTATATCTTTTAAATTTATGACAAAAAAACATTTTTGATGTCAGAAAACAAAATAGCCAAAAAAGAGAGAGAGATAATATTTGAAATTTTTGAGTATTTTTGGCACACTTCACATCAATTTTTAAGTCAATGTAAAAAAAAAATTTTTTAATATAGACCAGGTGCAAAAACCCCCAATCAATTATAGGTTGTTTTAACACAGCTGGACTTGTGACTTTTAGCTTTAATGTGCAAACTTTTATTTTTTATTTATTTATTTATTTACCGTATTTTAATGCATAAAGTCATGCATTTGCATCAAAATAAGGACTGCTGTAATATATATTTTGCTGCTGCAGTACTGCTGCAGCAAAATAGTGATATCAAACACTAAAAGTACATTTGCAAATGCACAACATTGGGTTAAACACCCTCAAACCAGTACCTGCTACAACTTATCATAAACTTGTACGTGCTAATTTTTTTTATGTTGTTTTTATCTTCCACCTTTTGTGTTACACAGAAAAGCCGAGCCCAGACCAAAGACCGAACAGGAAAACCCAGGACAGTGGAACTGGTCGTGGTGGTCGACAACACAGAGGTTTGATTCCCCATTTTCTTATTTCTCACTGTTACTGCAGATGTATCCATTGTAATTATCAATAATACACTTTTAAAACAAGAAGTGGAATGATTGTGTTTCGTGCATGAGATGCTGATGATTGTATTAGTAATTTATATAATAATTTCTTTCAGTACAAGAAATTTGGAAGACAGAAGACAATCGAGGCCAGGGCTCTTGAAATAGCAAACCACGTGGACAAGGTATGTCTGCTTCTCTGTGGTCTGATTCAAACCTGCTACAATTTTGCTCACAAAAAAAAGAAAAGAAAAGGAAAACGTGTCCGACACTTCATCAGACTTTACTTTCACTCTGGATCGCGAGCAAAAAATCTGTCCTGATAGTTTGTTCTTTACTGACTGGAGTCAGACCAATAAAAGGAAGGAAAAGTACTGTCGCTGTGAAAATCTAACTTTAACTGTGAATCTTCACACTTTAGCTGAAAATTTTCACACATATCCCACAATCCTCTTTGCCTAGTCTGAGAGAGTAGGGCTAACATGAATGTATCTGCAGACAGCACTAGACCCAACAGTAGCTTCCTGTGACTGAAATATAGGCTCTGTGGCTTGCAGCGCTGCATGTTTTACACACATTTACATTCAGAAATACTGATTTATCATTTTTTCTCAGCGTTCCCCTGTTTAGATTGGGCTGTCATTCTGCTCTGTTTCAGCTGTATCGTCCTGTGGGTGTTCGTGTGATGCTGGTCGGTCTGGACATCTGGTCATACAAAGATCAGATAGAGGTCAGCACAAACCCTGAGATCACCCTCGGTCGCTTCCTCGAGTGGCGTCAACGAAATCTGCTGCCGAGGACCAAACACGACAATGCACAGTTCATAACGTAAGACGCTGCTGTTTTTAACCAGTAAAAAGACAATACAACAATGTTTAATCTGTTAAAGCATATATCTAAACATTCTAACTCTACTTTGTTCAGAGGTGTGGATTTTGATGGCTCCACTGTCGGCTTGGCAAACACCAATGCAATGTGCACCTCTAACTCTGGAGCTGTCAATGAGGTGACCTCACTTTAATATTTATTTACTTTAATACGGTGGGGGGATGTAAAAGTTAATGAAAGGAAATTGTGTAAGAGCTTTTGTTTAATTATATTCCACTTTGGTCTACTTTGCACACAGGACCATAACACGAATGCGATAGGAGTGGCCTCCACTATTGCACATGAGATGGGCCACAACCTGGGTTTGTCTCATGATACTGAAAACTGTGTCTGTGGCTCCTTCACGTCAAAAAGAGGCTGCATCATGGCTGAGAGTGTTGGGTAAGCTTAACTACTCACGTGTACATATACTCCAGAAAAGCTAAAACTTTTAGCTTTTTTTTTTTGGCGCCCCTCACACACTTACGAAAACTGGGCGCCCCTTTCACACTAAAACAAAAAGCTCGACACCTACACAAAAACAGCAAAAATAACAACAAAAGGAGAGAAAACAAAAAAATGTGTTGTGCCCCATAACAAAAAATATGCGCCACAGAGAGAGCCACACAGGCACACAGAACACAACAAAAGTGCGTGTGTGCGCTTTTTTTTTTAAAAAAACCGGTTAAGGAAAAATTAATTTTTGCCGATTTTTTTTCTTTAATGAACCATTAAGATCACGATTTAGGTTAGATTTTGTTAATTCTCCCAACATAACGACACTTCACAAATGAGACTGTCAGAAAGTTGAAAATATTATGATGCTTTTAGTTTTTACAGTTTTCTGACCATGACAAATGGTGTGATTTTTTTTTAGATCTGGTGGGTTTTGGGGTTCAGAGGGTCAAACCCAAACGAAAGCTAATATTTCTCTTCTCTTTTTTTGCTTGCTGTCTTTCTTCCTCTAGCATTGTGTATCCGGAGCTTTTCAGTAGCTGCAGTCAGCAGCAGCTGAACAGGTTCTTGGAGGAGATCAACCCTGCCTGTCTGCTGGATACTCCCTCCACTGATCGCATCTATGGAGGGCCAGTGTGTGGAAATGCCTTCCTAGAACCTGGAGAGGAGTGTGACTGTGGCACCGTGGAGGTTTGTGCACACCGCGCTTAAAACGGATGCACACGCAAAATCACATATGCAAAGAAACACAGAAGAGGCTGAATTCTAACATTCTGCATCCCTCTTTGTACCTCACAGGAATGCAAGAATCCCTGCTGCAATGCCACCACCTGCAAACTGAATGCAGGAGCACAGTGTGCAGAGGGACAGTGCTGCCACAACTGCCAAGTAAGTGCTACTCACTGTGTCCTCTCCAGATGAGTGAAGTCACGCTGATGCTAATTATGTTACCATACAACTTGACACGATCTGACTGTGCCGTCTGGCTGGTTATGTGTGATTGCACGTATTTCAGTAGTCGGTACATCACCATCTGTGTTTCTCTCCGCTCTGCAGCTGAAGCCGACAGGCAGCGTCTGCCGACCAAAGGCAGGAGACTGCGACCTGCCAGAATATTGCACTGGCTTCTCTGCAGCCTGTCCGACTGACGCCTACACCCAGAATGGCTTATCCTGCAACCGTGGAAAAGGATACTGCTACAATGGACAATGTCCATCACGACAGGAACACTGCAAGAGACTTTGGGGACCAGGTAAAACACCAGAGAAAGACAGTTTAGTTTAGATGTGCTCTGACTCTGATTTGTCAACACTCTGATGTCTACAGCCATCTCCTTTGTTATGATTCTGTTCAGATGCTGAGGTAGCTGCAGATGCTTGTTTCTACCTGCATGGAAACTGCAGAAAGACGCTGTTTAGCCAGAGATGCTCCAGCCGGTGTGTGACCTAAAGCCGAAAAAGCACAATAATGACACACATTGGCAGTGTAGTCCTGCTGGGTTTTGAGATTATCACTCATGACTTTTGGTTATAGGGATCAAGCCTGTGGGACTCTTTTCTGCTCCGGAGGATGGGAGTTTCCAGTGACATCCAGGAAATCCTTTTACAAAGTAGGAAACGGAGACATATGCAACGAGGCAACAATGAACCCAGAAGATAACTACCCTGCAGATCTAGGCATGGTACCTACTGGCACCAAGTGTGGCAACAACATGGTAAGAAAACTGCTGTTGACATTTGACATGAGCAAAACCCTCATGCACTGCAGATCTGTGGGTAGCATGTTCATCTGTATTATATCTTTCATGTTCTGTCTCTCAGGTATGTTACAATCAACGGTGTCAAGACATCAGAAGTATAAAAGTGTTTGGAACAAATGACTGCTCTGCCAAATGCAACAACCGTGGGGTAAGTAATTTGTTAAAAACACCTTTTTTGTGCCGTGGAACCACAACAATATCACTAACTGTGAGTGGGATCTCTGACAGGTTTGCAACCATGAACGGAAATGTCACTGCGATCCTGGCTGGGCTCCACCTTACTGTGATGTGCCACAGTCGGAGCTGCCTGAAGGTACTGTACTTGTTATGATTGTGTCCTTTAATGCAAATGTTCGCACTAACAGTCAGTGCCTCTGTATATGCTTGACCTTATAATGACCATGATTTACACATGACTGTTATGCTCTGTTTTTCAACCAAGATTTAATACTTAGTTGATTTCACATGGACTCTAAAACAATTGTGCTCTGTTCTAAGGAGGACAAACAGACGCTGGTTTAATGGAATTTCCCTATTAGTCCGGATAAATGCAGTAATGATGTTACAGTGAATTTTGTTTCCTGAGCAGGCAGCCTGTGTTCTTACATGCTCATCCTTGAGCAATAAAAAAGTAAATTCACATAGTCTGTTGTGTGTTTGTGTGTGTGTGTAGAGTCTGGCCTGGTCGTGTTTATTGTGTCGCTGGTGGTTGGTTTACTTCTCCTGTTGGTTCTGCTTATCGGGACTTTGATGTGCTGCATCAGAAAAAGGCGACCTGCAAAGAGGTAAAGAAAGAAGCTGCTCCCTTGTCTCAGTTTTTGTTGGACCACTTTGTACATTTAGACATATAAACAAAACATCATCTTCCTGTCTATATCTCCTTCTAAGCTCATGTGTGTATTTCTTTATAGATGCCTTACATCTACCTCAGGACAATCCAACCCAGTGTTTCGCTCAAGTAGTACACGAGGCAGCCCTCGTCTAGGGTCTGCATACATCAGCCAGCCCAGGTTTCTGGAGTCGTCAGCCACACAAGTCTGCAGACCACTGTTCTCTGCTGCTACCAGACCACAGACTGGAGCCCTGAAGCCCAGCAGAGCAGCTCCAGAGGTGAGCTTCCATTTCAATACAGTGACTCTGTATGTGTTTGCTTATCTTGTATTGCTTTATTTGATGTAACTGTAATTTACATCTAAAACCAAGTTATTATGCCAACTAATTTTGGGTAACTGCAACTACTGGAACATGTGCCTGTGGAAGTGTCCCTGAGCCACACACTGACAGGCCATTGTTGTAATTATGCTGCAAAACTCAGTAAGGATTACAGCTTTGAAAAAGCTAACAAAGCTTTTGCTTCCATTTCTTCCTGTTTTCTTTCTTTACAGCCACCCAGGAAAGTACCAGCTGTACCTCAGCCATCAAAGACTCAGCAGGTAAGCCGATTTACTGCTTTGTCTTTTTGTAAATGTAACATTTTTTATATGCTGAACTGTAGTTCATACCATGCAGCGTCTATTGTATTTCAACTAATAAATATCTGTTTTTATTTAGATTGTAAGGTCCTTCATGCAGCCGCCTGCTGTTTCAAGGAAGCCAATCTATACTGAGGTACAACTACACAATGAATCTGACGACTTTTTTTTTTTTTCAGGACACTAGTTTTTTTCTTTGTAAAAGATGATGTACTAATTGTTACATCTTTTTCACCAGACTAAGCCACTACCTCCATCTAGACCTCTTCCACCACTTGCAACAAAACCAGTGAGTGACATTACAATCCACACAGCTCATGTTGTTCTTCACACATTTGTTCATCTTCGCCTTTGCTGCTTATTTGTAATATGAACATCCTCTCTCCAAGATGATGAAGCCAAAGCCTCCGCTGCCTCCAGTGAAGCCGAAGTCCTCTGCAATCCTGTCTTCACTGCCGCACACTCAGCTGGTAAGTATTCAGACAGCAGCCACACTTCCCTAAATCCCAGAAGTTGGCATTCAGGCACTCTTAATGTTATTCAAGGCATTCACGTTTATAAAGACGTCTGTGGTTTTTGGCATTGTCCCAACATAGCAGTGTAATGAACAAGCAGTGGCTCAGTGTTAGTCAGTTAGTAAGCACATAAACCTCTCCTTACCACTGAATAGCTAAAAGACTGACATGGAGCAATAAACATAAGATTGGCAAAAGAAAATAGTTGTTGTGCTAAGAGAAGCTCATCCAAATTGTGTGCTAATAGTGTTTGTTTGTTTTTCTAGCTTGCAGGGAGAGCTGTCCTGATGCCCCCCAGCAGGCCCAGATGACAGAGGGAAGGATTTTTCCTGGTGTAAACAGAGAGATCCTCTGACAGAGGATACTGTTTTTGTCTCACCTCGAAGGACCAAGAAGACCTTCTCAGGAGACGCTTGTCTGTTTTTAAAGTGGAAACGAGATCCACTGAAGGATCAGCAACATTAAGTGGCAGAGCTTTTCTGTCAATTACAGTCTGCTGGAGGATTGCGACTGCCTTTGTTTCGCTTGTCTCAGCCTTCAGTGCGTTGATAAAAACCTGAAGCCATGACTGAAAGACTTCACTTCTGTGCTTTACGAATGACAAGTGGCGATGCTGCCATGATGCTTTTTTAATTAAGGGAAATGTGTCTCTGCCTTGATCCTGAGATATGTGAACATTTAATGAGACATCTGCACTATCAATGCTGTTCTACTAACATGGTTTTGGTACTGCCTTTCTAAGAAATAATGTTGTTAAGGGATTTTAAAATGTGGCACCAACATGGGCACTTTACAGATGTTTTTTAATGAAGTACATTACAAAACTTTTTTTCTTGAACGTTTTTGTACTAACCTATGTATGCTTGACTTTGTGGGACTTTTGTTTAGTGTGCTGACTTGATACATGTTAATTGTAGTTCTTTAAGGGAATTTATATTGATTATTCTATGCAGCAGACACAATCACACGGTCCATCACTCTCAATGCCAATGATTCCTCCTGTGAGGATCTGCCTTGATTTGCCCTGCAAACTCAGAATGTTTTTATTTATTGAGTTTCTTTTTGTGTGTACAATGGAGCTTATAATAAAAGTGAGTCACTGCAATCAATGTTTCATTTTTTTTTTGTTTTGTTTGTAGGTCAACATTTATAACTGTAATAAAAATCCATGCTGTGACCTTTACAGTATTACATCAGAGAGAGAAGAACAAATCCAAGCATTTTCCTTTGAGCAAACTCTTTGGAGATAGAAGAAAGAAAAAAACACTCTTTTAACAGGAAGCAACTTTTGGCAGAATCAGGGTCAGGGAATATGGCCATCTGCCTCGACTGGGGTGAGAGTAAAGGGATGAGACAAAAAGAAAACAAACAACCCAAATGAGAATGATAAACACTTGGAGAGGCCATAGCTGCAGGTTAAATAGGTATAAAATGCAGGAAAGGCAAGATGCAACGTTGGTGACATACCCTGGTGGCATGTAAATGTATGTGATTGTCTTTTTGTACTTGAGGTCTCTTGTAGTGCTTCAGGATAAAAATGTCCAATACATTTATTCTTGATAATAAGATGCTACTTATGAATGAATCAATCATTAAAACGTGGCATGTTTCACTCAATATAATATAATATAATATAATATAATATAATATAATATAATATAATATAATATAATATAATAACGTAACAGCATATGTCAATCAAATCAAAGTGTTTATTGTCAAAGGCACAGTAAAGAAAACGTGTTTCCCTGTGCAATTAAATTCTTCCTTTGCTGTCCACAGTGGATACCAGCGATAAATCCATCCATCATCTCCGTCGCCATAGTAAACCAGCGGTCGCCTAGCAACGCCTCAAACAACCTGCGGTCGAGGGAAGCTAACGAGTTAGCCCCGTAAAACTGTTTGGATCTTCATAAAAGGGTCCAGAAACACACGTTGCTTTAAGAATAATGGATCGTGAACTGAGCGAAGAGGAACTGCAGGATTTGTTCGCATGGATAGACAAAATCCCTCTGTCCCGGCCCAAGAGACACATCACCAGAGACTTCAGCGACGGAGGTAGCAAACTTGGTTATGCTAGCAGTCCACAGGGAGCTGGAGACCAAACAAGCAGCAGGAGTAAAATGAGATTGTGTAAATTTGTTTCTGTCCTGCTACAATAATCTTGTTTGGTTGTTTAGGTATAGTTTATCAGCTCAAATGTCTGTTTGTGTCTTTATTTACTTGGTACTTCATTGTCTGCAGTGATGGCTGCTGAGGTGGTGAAGTACTTCTTCCCAAAGCTTGTTGACCTGCACAACTATATTCCTGCAAACTCCACACAGCAGAAGCTCAGTAACTGGAACCTCCTCAACAGGCAAGAGACCAGATATCGTTTTTTATTGTATTTATTCATTCATGAAAAAAAAGTACATTGAATTAAAGAAGCAGAAGAGTTTTGTCCTACGTCTATTATTAGTGATAATAGACAAAATAATGGCTTAGATGGAGCAGGTCTTTTTAACTTTCAAAGTATCACATATGAGATTATACAACTATTTATTCTTCTGTTCAAAGCCTAATTAAATATACATTCAATTATATTTTGAATTGTCACCTGCTTGAATTTAGTGTTGTTGTTTAGTTTAGTTTTGTTGCATAATTAGAGACATTTTTGCTATAAACTGACAAGAAAAGATACAAGTTACTGCATAAAGATTCACCAGAATTCACAAATTGAAATGTTTGATGCTCAAACTTTCCTGGGGGAGGATCCACAGAAACCCAGCCTAATGTGTCTCCCCAATACTCAAATAAAACCAACACCCATGAGTAGGAGGCAGCTACGAGCAGAAAGTGTGACCACGCAGCTGGAAAATTTCAGATTTTCATAATTTACCTCAACTCAGAACCCAGAACAGACACACCCTGCAAAAAGTTGCAATTCCAGTCAGTATCTCGTTCTTTCTTTCTTTCTTTCTTTCTTTCTTTCTTTCTTTCTTTCTTTCTTATAAACACTAAGCTAAGGCAAAACTTTTGCTGAGTCTGTGCATCTGGTCGTGAGAACCGATGCAACATACACCCACTCATCATCTCCCTGGCCGCTAGTCTGGCCCACAGCCAGCTTCAGATTTATGGGAATTCACTGTAAACATATTGGCCCCTTTGGTGTTTATCGTTACCATGCATCATCACTTAAATCACATTCAATCTATTGTTCCTACTGTAACTAGTTTGTGTTCATTAAAAACGTGGAGTTATTTTTTTTCTTCTTTTGAATGGACAGGAAGGTGTTTTCCAAGCTGGACTTTCACGTGCCCGAGGAGACGGTGAAGAAGATTGTACTGAACACTGCGGGAGTGATCGTGCCTGTACTGAGCACCCTCAGGGAGAAAATGGAAAAGAAGTTGGAGCACACCGCAGACAATATTCTGGTGTGTACTGAGACATGCGCTACAAGTCACTTTCTGTCTGTTTGAACTCTAATTACAAAATGTGACTCACTGTGGTCTTCTCTCCTTCCACGTGAGTCCTAAAACATGACTACGTTTTGATTTATTTTTCCTCCTAGGATTTGGAATACTATGACACCAGGAACCAGGAGAAACCTAATGCAGGTAGATCGACTATTGATTTGTTGCAACTACACAAACCCTAACATATTTATTTTCCAACAAACTAAACTAGTTAGTAACAAGCAGACACAGGATCTGGTGTCAAATTTAGTACTTTCACTGTTTTAACTCTCATTTACTTATTGTCACAACAGCCTATTTAGCGCTTCAAGCCTTTAAAAACTCATCTGTATGGATTGACGATTGTATATTACCGCATCATGTCTTTTCAGTGTTCTTTTGTTGTTGCTCATTTTAATGTTTTATTGTCACTCCTTTATTTGTAATCCAGTTTTGAAAGCTGCTATACAAATAAAATTCATTATTCTTATTCTTGACCTCACATCACAGGGCAGTGATAAAAATTTAGTTACAACTTGCAAATCTATAATTAGCCCAACTGCTGATTTAACATAAATGTGATGACTGTCTTTGACCTTATCCCTTGTGCAGCATGTATCCTTAAGTTAGTATCTTTTGTGGAGAATATGAGCTGACACAGTCAGTCTGTAACCCTGACTGAAGTGACATAGTCTAAAAATTTTCTCTTTTTAGAACAAGGAGGGAAGTGGGTGTAATTTTAGACCTTTTAAAATGTTGCTGTATCTGCTGGTCAGCTGACAAACACAAATCAGCATAATCTAACAGACACTGGGTGGTTTTTGTCTTTGAGAGAATCATGTAGTGACTGCTGTCAGAGCTGAATCTGCCACTGAAGTGATGTTTTCCAAAGATCTTCTCTGCCTCCTACCTTCTGCTGCCTGTCCTGCTAACAGGCCTCAGTTAATGCTAATCAGCCCCAGTGATACCGATGACCACACAGACACACAAACATGCCTCCACTGGAAGGCATCAGGACAGGACTGATTAGAAAATGCCACGACCTTAAGGGAGTGAATCGGTGATATGTGTCTCTTCCGTTTCCCACACCTCATCTGTCCCTGAAACTACCCTGTACAGCTGACCTCAGACCAGTGCCTCCTCCCTCTGCTCTTTCCTCTTCCATCCACACTTCATCTACTATCAGACTCAGGGCTCAGGTCCTCATATCAGCTCCCAGCATCACCAGATGGCCTTTATCGCTGACCTCAGCTCAGCACTGCTTTTTTAAAGGCTTTCTTTCTCTATCTTCTAATCTTACTTCCTTGTTTCTCCTTCTTTGTGTTTGCGGTCATCGCCCATCTGAATCACTCCCAAAGTCTTTACCTTAGTTGTATCCAGAAGATTTATGCGCCAAATCCCTGCTGGTCTGTTAACATTACGGTTGGAGAAATGTTATTTTTCTGTTTTGTTTTCTTCAGGAATTCCTCAGACTGAAGAAAGACTTCCAGCTCAGGCTGCAGAGATGAAAAAAGACAACAGACAGAAGAATGGGTACGAACAAAACTTTGCTTTTAATTTGATTTCAGCAAATCAGTGCTTTTAATAATTGTTTTGTTTTTGTTTTTCCTTAATTGCACAGTAAACCGCAGCACACAGTACAGTTTTATTCAGACATGGATCGTACTTTCCAACTAATCCTGCAGGAAAAGGAACAAGCGGTCATGGCTTTGCAGGAGACTGTGGAGGTAAAACACACATACTTGCACACACACTCACGTGAGTGCTGACTGGTAGAACATCTGCAAACAAAACTGTCTTCCATTTTCATATCCTGGAGGGGGAAGAACTTTGTCATACACAGACACCACCTGTAATGTTGTTACAGATGTGTATGTGTGTGAGAGAGAGATTTAGATGTGTGTGTGTTACATATGCGTCATACCCTGTGTCAGCAGTGGTCAGTGAGTCAGTATCTGCTCAGCGGATACAACCCTTTTTTTTTTTCTTTTCCATCTGTGCCCACATCTACATGTGAAGAAAGAAAGAATAATGACATAAATGTGCAACTTCTCCTTTCACCACATAAGGAAGTTTTTTGCAGTGAAATAAACTGCAATTTCAGGATGAAACCTCTTCCAGTTTTACTTCATTATTTTTTTTTTGCATCCTTGTGTATGCGTGTGTGTGTGTGTGTTTGTGTGTGTGTGTGTGTGGGTGTTTGTGTGTGTGTGAGAGCAGATCCTGCAGATGAAAGTGAACAGGTTAGAACATCTGGTTCACTTGAAGGACATGCGTATTGAAGATCTGACGCGGCATCTGGAGACGTACAAAGCAAAAGGCAATAAGCGCTGACATGCAACACACATTCACACACAAAGAATTTGTTCGAGTTGTTCTGACATACAAGAATGCGACATGAGCGCCAATAAACCTTTATTTTATTAAAAACATCACAGCAAATGATGAGCATTAATAAAGATCTGAGGTAACGGTCCGTCCAACAGAAATGCATCACACCTGTTGGATTGCGCTGATAAGATTACAGCTTTTAAGGCGGACTTGTTTTCAAAGTAAAGTGGGTTACAAAGAGTTCCCGTTAACATCAGTTACACCATTCACGAAATGTACAGGAGTTACCAGTATTTAGTAACTGCAGTTTCATAACAGAAAGATTATAAAGCAGTTGTTTGCCTGATGTGACACTGAAATGCTTTTAATATCATGATTTTTAAAAGAAAGAGGATGGCATATTATGTCTTTGTATTTTATCTATGGAGATTTTACTCTATATTATGTATAGATCTGTTACGTGAGGGGAGACCTTATTGAATATAAACAGTTATTTCTGTGTGAGAAGTGAATGGAATGTGATTTTTATAGAGTTTATGTCTTCTTTGTACAACCTTTGACTGTCACTACAGCTGGTGTCCACTTTGACCTTCCAGCTTGTCTCACTGTACAAGAGCACAGTGTAGAGCACATCTCTTCAACATGAACTGGCTTCTGCAGAAAAAACTAACTAAACATAAACAGGATATGCAGTTTTAGGTTTTTTCACTGACTGTCATGTTCTTTGAAGTCTAAAATTACATCACTCACAAACTATTACAACTACTTAAGTGTGAAAATCAGTCAAAGATAGATTCTAAGTAATTAATGACCTAATTTCCACTTCGGGTTTTCGAGGTAAAGTGACGACAAAGTTGACTGATGCCCAAATACAGTAAAGCATTTCTGTCACAGCAGCTGCAGACCGCAGCCTGTGGTGCGTCTATTTAAATAAAACTTTATTTCCTGAAGGCTGTTCCATACTGTCATATTACACCAAAAAAAAGACTTGGTGTTGTCAGTGTTTGTCTCTGTGTTGTCTGTGTTGGTGTAGAATAACAGGCGACCTGCTGAGCTGTATCAGGAGCGGCAGATTTGCTGCAGCCGTCTGCCGCTGTGTGTCTGTGTTCTGTTGTGCTCACCTTCATGCCACATAGTTAATCACCACTATCAAGTCTGAAGGAACACAACATGGAGGGGGGGGGAGTCAACAGCTTTTGTAGATAGTTTCAAATGAGGTGTTTCATATGTTTAGGAATAAAGAACACTGACAGTGAAAGTAAAGATGTGATAGATTTATACACTAGATTGTTTCCTAGAAGGGTGTAATCAGCAGTTGGCAGCACCGACAAACAGCAGTACGAATGAAAACTCTGCTGCACTTAGAATGACTTTTTATTGTCTTTGTATTTAATTTTTGTTTTTGTATTTTTGTTCATTCCTCATTCCATTCAACATTTGTTTCCCCCCAGCATTATTTACAGCACTGTGAAAAAATAATGCCACCAATGTTTTTTTTTTATTTTGGAAGACTTCAAGATTTGAGCTTCTACAAAGCTGGTTATCAGAGACAGATTTTTTTTTTTAAAAGAATGCAGAAAAAATCAGCAGATCCCAAAATAAACTGTCTTATGGTCCCTGAATCCTGCTCTTCCCACAATGCAACTCACAAGCATGTGTCCCTCTGCATGTGAAATGTTCTCATATTTTAAACATTGTCGGTATAATGTAGGTTTTATGTCAAATATCTAAAACCTAAACGCCTGTCTCTGCAAAATGTTGTGCTCTCTGTGTTTGGTAAATTAGGAACAAGTGATTAGTCAGACTAGTCGTAAACTATTTGTAAGGCTAACAGGCGACACAGCAGTCGGACAAAACATACTGATGCTAGTTATTCACTCCCCACAGGCATTTTGTGCTCAGGATTTTACATCATGTTATTCAATGAAGAGTTCTGTTAAAGATGGGGGGAATAACCCTGGTCCCAAACAGAAATATTACTCAGTGGAGATTATTGAAAAGAAACATTTCTACCATCGGCTCCTGTCTTATATCTGATTTCTGTTTTACATGTTGCTGCGGTTTGGTCTTTTTTTACTGTGTAACCCTGGTGATGTCCTGAGGGTTATTTTCCCAAAAGAAAGGACATAATACAAATGTTCTTTTTACAGGCTGAGTAGTACTTCTCATGATGAGTAAACTGACCTTCCAGGGTTCCATTTAAATGCATTTACCTTAAAAACAGAGCATTTAGGAAAACGGGAGAATAAACAGGAACAAAGCATGAGGAAAATGTGCAGAAAGGAGTCGTATACGAGGGCTGCCACAATATCAGATTTTCACTACGATTACAATAATATCATATGTACAGAAAAAACAGTAAAAACAACACAGGTTCTTCTTTAACTTTGTGTTTTGTGTGTTTTGTATATTCTTTTTTTTATTTTAGCAAATTAATTACACTCACAGTACAAGTGCAGGGAGGTGACGTGTCACCATAACTGTGTTGTGTGTTGCTCCTTCTGTATGTTTTAGTCTCAACCAGATAGTTGCTGGATTATTTCTAATGTGATCAGATGTGTATTATTGACATTATATCACAGTTATCATCAATACAGCTACATCATGACAGACTCGACTACTAGCGGATCAGCACAGGAGTATGAAGGAGCCCAAACAGTGAAAAGTGGTGGGAAAAAGCAAAGCAAATGTTCTTTGAATATACACCAACACACACACACACACAAGATAAGAATGTGAAAGAAAACTGCAGAACAGAGCAGCTATTGATGAATGCGCAGCCTGCCGCTGATGAATCACATTCAGTATCACATTGAGTATCACACTGCTGTTCGGGGACTAGATTTACTCAGAGATGACGGACCACACCCCGGAGTCTCTGGGGAGGAGACAGATCCAGGAAGGAGTCAAGGCAAGAAGGAGCATGCAGCATCTGATGAGCGAAGACAAAAGGAAAGGGAAAAAAAATGTGGGTTCATCCAGGAAAGCAGCAAAAACCTGACATTGACCTCACTTCCCTGAGAGGGAGGGCTTTAAACTTGCTGACTTTGTACCCCTGACACCAAATAATTAGACCACCGGGCCAACAGACAAACACACAAGAGCTTCCCTTAGTTAAGAAAACAAATGAGGACGATTGAAGTTTATTTACGCTCAAAAACATGCTTTATGATCTCTCAGATCCTAATATGGGTCAGACTAAAGCTGAAAACTTCCCCAGAGAGTGAAAAACTGATGATGTGGCACTAAGAGGATACCAGAGATCTCCGCAAGGACTGAGAGGTCATAAGAGGAAGCTATCCCTCATCTGGTCATCCAGGCAGTGGTCACACGCACACACATGCACGCTCTGAACGCTTCCTGGAAAGCCTTTGTGAACAGCTGACTGGCCGAGCTGAGGGCAGGACTTGAGGTCTGGAATCATTCTCTTGGGACGGTGACCGTTTTACAAACTCAACAGACAAACACAGCCCTGTTTTTGTGATGTTTACAACACATTATGTGGGTTAGAACAACAGGGACTGTGTGATAGATTGTGTTTATATATCCGGCAAGTGTTCCCTGAGTCGTCCTCACGTCGCCACAACCATGCAGCCATTAAAACAAATAAGTAGCCTCCACATGCACATGACAGAAAACGCTGTTTGACTAAAATATTTGATGGAGTATAAATAACATAGACTCACAGCTTAAAGTGTGCAACAGTAAGATTCTGAGCTTGTTAACTTCAACATTATTCGAAATCCAGAGCCAAAATGTGTCAACACAGTGTTCATGTGTAGTTTAATTGAATCTTTGTGTAAATCTTTGTGCGGTAAAATGTATTTTTTTCTTATTCTTGTCTGTTTTCACCAACTTATCCATCTAATAGACACTTCTTTGTGTTTTGTCATGCTTACTATCCAGCTGACCCCTGTTTAAGTGAATTTTGGGGGATTTTTTTTACCTCCATTACTCTGTTAAATCAATCTTCTCTTTCAATCACCACTTGGCAAAAATGCTTTGGAGCCGAGCAGTTAAAACAAATCTAACATGGTGTTAGTTCACCTCCTGTTGGCACCACAGCGTACTACACAACACCCACACAATCCACAGAGAGAGAGAGAGAGGAGAGGTACCAAAATAGGTTTTTTATTTTACATAAGAACATTGTCAAAACTTGAAAACATTTTTGCATATAAACCTTTTAAAACAAGAAGACAATGTTTAAATTTCACAGATTGTACAAAATATTGACAAAAAAATCATTTTCATAAGTGATTCAAACCACCACCAAAGTGAACGCAGAGCGCAGCCTTGAACTGCCATTTGGAGGTCACGTAAACAGCACGAAATCTTCCAAACACTAACAGTGTCCACTGCCCGTTGTGTCTCTCTCAGCTAGAATCTATGATGAAGCCGTACGGTATGTACATCCGAGCTCTTGAGAAGTCCCACAGCCGAGCCCCAGTGGAGCCTTTTAGTTTTAAGAATCACTGAATCTTTAAGTCTGGAAGTCTGGGGTAACCCATTGTTATTTAAGGCTTAAATTCTGAATAGTGGAAGTATTTCCATGTTTTTGAAACACAGATCTGAACAAAATCCAAAAGCGTAAACACATAAGAACTAGCACCAACTTGCATCTTTTTTTTTTAAGCCCAAGCAATATCAACATTCATCTCTAAATAGAACAAAGCTTGTTTCTGTGTAGTATTGGCGCTCCTGTCGTTACAAAACTGATCAGAGGTTAAACAAATTCTCACTAAGCGTACGTTACTACATTGTAACTACGTGTTGTGTCACTTGCCAGTAGAACTCTTTCAGCTATCTTGGTTAGCAAAGACCGAAGAACTCTGTCGTCCATCAATTCTTATATTACTGCAAAAATGTAAACATTTACAATGGAAACAAGATTGTATTGGTTTTATTTCTACATTTACTGACCAAAAGCCTCTTAATGCTATAATAAGACACCTATTGTAAATAAATGGTGCAGTAAAATATGAATGCTTCAATAAAAATGTCATCGGATGTATCTGCAAGAGACACAAATGTTGAATTTTTGCTTAAGGTGGTGTCGTTTTTCCCATTTTTATGTGACATTAAACCATAGCTTCCCTCATCCTTAAATCAAAGTTATTTGCTTTTTTGGACTTTTGGAGAGTGCACCGGTCCATCCAACATCGAGCAGCTGTCTTACGAAAATAAAATACATTTCCTGAGAATTTACATTTAACCACGTCTGAATAAGCTCTATAACAACAGAGATGGCAGACAGTCGCAGGCTCTACTAATCATCTGAATCAAGCCAAAGCACAAATTTCCACATGCATGGCCCTGATAATCAAAACCAGACGGAGGAAGGAACAATGTGTTGACTTCTTGACAAGTAATACAAATCACAATTTCCTACAGAGGAACTGCCCCCTATTATTCAGCTGCTTCATCATAGCATTCCCGTACTAGCTGTTAATCATCCTTGAAAGACAAAATTTGATTCTCTTTAAGCAACACTTGACCTTTTTTCACCCTTTTTTTTCCTCATTTTGCGTCACAGTAAAGACGACAGTAGGTCAGCAGATCTCAACCATAAGCAATACCAGAAAACATCTGGTAATATACTTCATCGATACCAATCTGACCCACTCATCCAAGACTCTACTGATCTTTCACAGCTCATATCTGAATAATTTTAGTCTGGAAATAAAAGGTGGGCTCCATCTAGTGCTGCTGCAATCACTACATTTTGGATGCATCTGTATGTAACCTGTCAAAGGTGTTGTAAGTTTATCCACCAGCAGAATTTGACACAAGGTGTGATAAAACAGTCCTCACACTGATTCATGTTTGTAGAGAGCAGCGAATCAGGGGCTCAGTGCAAGAGAAGATGGCACAGAGATGACTTTACCCCCCCCGTTTAATTAGTGTCACCTGTCGGATTCCAGTGCAGCTAAACCAGAAGTTAAATCTCAAAAATCTACAACTCATTTTCATCAACAAATCATTTTTCTTGCATACAACAAAAAAAAAGTAATGCAGCTCCAAAAGCAAAATTAAACACAAGCACGTGTAAATTAGGGCGACCACTTGCTGTCGCCTTCCCAGGCATAAGCATTTGTATGCTTTTGATTTTTAACTATGGCATCAATGTCATTCCTAAAGCACGCCTTTTCACAAAGAGTGGAAGATTCAGAAACTTTCCTTGTCATCTCATATATCTCCTACTTCTTACTTTCGCTAGTCTTTCACTTGAAATTTTCCCAACTCTTTCTTTGCCATTTAGATTCGAGACTGAAGTGTGTTGTTCACCAAACTAGCTGCAAAGCTCCTTGACCCATCATCTTCAGTTCAGTGTTTCCCTCCCCACTGACAAGACGAGTCCTCAGCAGGTTCTCAGAGGCAGAGCTGTGGACTCACTGCCCATCTGGCTTCGTTTTAAAAAAGTCTGGGTCGGCGTTGGGCAAATGAGGGGAGCGTGCAGACTTTGGGGGTCTGTCGGTTCCCTCTACAAACATGTTGGGGATGTCCTGGCCAAAGTAGATCTTACTGTTAGCTGCTATGGCCTGGTACTTCATCAGCTCCAGGTATTCCGGCGTTAACTTCAGCTGTAATGATTTAGGACAAAGACAGCAGTATGTGAGAGTTAGATTAGTGATGGGTTATGTCACTGTTCAAGGCAGTACTGGTGTGTATAGCATGTACATGACTGAAAATAAACACCACTGCTGGAGTCATGTAAGTAGCGTGGAAGAAGTGAACAACATTAATCTTGAGTGAGATGAGTTCCTGCTGTGTCTGATTCAGCTCAGGGGGATAATGATTAATTGAACAAAACATTTTTCTGACTTCATCAGAGCAGCATAATGTTGAAAAAAATTTGCTGAGTCACTCACAGGTAGGAGGGAAAAATGTCTCGTCAAGTCAGTTTGAAAAACACCAGCTGCACAAGTTTTATCTGATATAGTCTGAATCTATTTAGTTCTGCATTGATCATGTGGCTAAAGCATCACCACATACTACAGTGGCTTGAGGTATAAACCTATCAATAAACTACAGCTGTCTTAATATTAGTTCAATTCCAACAGCATTCACATTGTAGCCACATCATGAAAATACTGTGCAGTACTGCGATTATATTTCAAGGCTATCACATTACATGCTGTGAGATGTCTATATGTTTATGTATCAAAGTGTGTTAACACAGTCTTTTACCGAGTTAGCTTCAGCAGACTTGGCAGCAGTGTAATATTCTGCATCAGCTTTAGCCTTCTCCCTGGCCAGGAAGGCAGCGTCTAAAACAAAGAAACAGTGTTGAATGAGACAGGCACATGACAAACCAGCACACCAGGCACAGAGGAACACACAAATCCATCTCACAGATGGGAAGTGAAAGTAGTCAGGCTAACCCTCTATTTCAGAGATCCTCTTCTCCGTCTCTTTCTCCATGACCTTCTGTTGGAACTGGATCTCTGCTACCTGGGCCACTTTCTGAGCCTCTGTAGGACAGAAAAGCATGAGCTATACAGAAAGAGGGGGCTGACGAGGAAGTCACACATGAGTGACTGAAAGAGACAAACTGCTAAAATTGTACCAACAGTCATGCAAATTAAAAAAAAAATAAAAATAGCTGGCTGATTTACAGTAAACCCAACACATTTACCAATAATGGCCTTCTTCCTTTCAGTCTCTGCTTCCTTTTCCACAACCTTCTGAGTCTGAGCTGTTATTAGCAGACGAGTCTTCTCCGCCTCCCTGCATACACGCACACACACAAAAATGAGGTTCTTCAAGTATTTTGCTTTCTGTGTGGCCCTACTTGAACTGAGTGGGTGGGTCACAGAGAAAGCGCAGCCTGTTCTGGTAAGTACAGTTTTACAAACTCACATGAGTTCAAAGTTCCTCCTGATAGACTCGGGGATCTTTGGCTTGGTAACACGGACTGCCTTCATCGGGATGGTGAAACAGTGCAGAAGAGAAAATGGAGAAAAAAAAACATGACTCTTTGCTCACAACCAAAATTTCCACATAGATTGGATATAATGTGTCTACTACTATTTGTTCAGAATTTGAGAGGAGTATTGATGTAACGTTCTGTCATATACAACTGATCAACTTGTGTCATGATGATTGTGTTTTTCATGTTTGCCTGTTGGATCATGTTTCATCATCATATTCTTCAGTATAGTACCAGACAATAAACTGGTTTAGAGTTAGGATTAGCAGTACATTTGTTGCAGGAAGCTGATGGTAGTCCTGCTATAGATATTGTGCAACAAGGGTTTTGATTTATAGTTCACCATCAGATTTCCCCATCTGATAGCACCCCCACAGTACTGAATGGATGTCAGACCTGTGTAGCTTATCTTTCGCTTTCTCTCATTAGGAGTCAACCGCAAATATGTAAAACAGGTTTGTGCCAAATGGTGATCAGATCACCTATTGACAAATGTTTGTTGATGCAAATACAGATTGTTTTATTTTAGTCTGTGAACATCATTAATTAGCACAAATGACTCCGCTCCTTCATCTTCATTCACTACTTGCTGCTGCTGCTTGATTCTAGCTGGTGTGTGTGTCCAAATAGTCCAAGAACCTTGCATGACCCCATCTTTTTCCCCTGTTTTGCTATCTTTAGTTGCCAGATCTATTATCCTGTAAATGTATGTACAAGAAATGCCTGAAATTAATGATTGTTAAATTTTAACGAAAGCTATTCAATTCATTTGTCACCGACTCTGTGAATGGAGATGGAGAAAAGGAGGGAGGGAGAAATTCAAAAGAAAATGAATATTGCATATTTCACAATCATTACATTGCAACACTGATACAATGCAGGTTGTGTGTGTTTGAATACCTGTATGGTAAGGCCAGGTGCCATACAATTAAGATCTTTCTGTAATGCCGTCTTCAGGTTCTCATCGATAATGTCTGCACGACAAAAAAACAGCTACTGTTTGAACACACATAATGCTGTGATTCACATTTCAGGAATGAACACACGCTACATGCTGTGTTACAAAGAAAGAAAAAGGCATTCACCAAATAACTCGATGTAGACCTCTTGTAGTGTGTGCACACTGCAGAACTGGTTGAGTTCGTGGTGAATCTTGTTGAAAATTAGAGTTTTGTCATAATCAGCGGTGTAGTTCCTCACAATGTCTACCACTGCAATAGACAGAACAAAAACAACAGTTAATGAGTCAACCAAACAAGGAACTTTTGCAATGAATGAAATTTGAAACGTTTTGTACCTGCAGAAGGGACCAGCATGTTAACTACTTCTATCCTGTCAAAATAGATCATCACACCACCACTGTGAAGAAAAACAACTGTTAAATACGTAATCATTGACACGACTGGATCAATTTCTTAACAGCTCTTAATCAGTAAGCTCAGTCGTACCTTGTTCCACAAGGCACATTCTTGATTTCATCTGTTTGGAGAGTAGTCTGAAACATAAATTTAAAGCAGATGTTGCTAGTTTCTGTTTAGTATGTGAGACTACGCAAAGTAGTGCAGGCTTGTTTTAGATTAAAATCTGATACATACATTCAATATATACGTACATGCATCTTGTCTAACATATTTAACTTAAAAACTGACTGTAAAAGTTAATTAAGGACACCAGAAATAGTACTTTGATAAATTAATCTCTATTTAAGTACATTTCAGTCTTATAGTTTTGTGATGACAACTAAACCAGCCCCATAGCAGCGGACCTCAGCCCGTGAGATGCAGTTAAAACCTCTGGAGGGGAAAAAGCTCATAAACGGAGCCAGGTTGAAGTAATTTTATTACATTTTAAAATGTCACTTACTGATCGTGGGTACTACAGGTTTTAAAAAAAATATCTTAATTTCATAACAAACTAATAACAAACCAGGCCAGCAACATAATTGACTTTTCTAAAGTCTACTGTTTGAACTCTATACACAGTAAGCAATCAGGAAAGGCGATCTTTATCACACAGGGCCCTCCTCATCTACCTCATCCCCAAAAATTGTTTACTCCCTCTGTGGACTAGAATGCTGTACTCTGACTTGACAGTTGTAGAGTTAACAGTTCTATGTGTGCGTTTCTGCACGTTTTTTTTTTTTATTGTTGTTTTTTTCAAATGTGTAATATCTATAGTTCCAGCTATTGTTAAACCAAAAAAGTTACAATTTCTTCAAATTTATTGTCGTAGAGAACACTGTATGGTTTAAGAAATTCCAATACTTCTCTAAGCATCTTTAGTGGCACAAAAACAGTGCATTAACTTCTTGTCAAACAGACTTGCTGTGGCCATGGCTGAATGACAACTGCTTTCAGGCTGTAGCTGACTTATTTATAGAAGTTCCAATGAGCAGCTCCTCATGGTTGACTCTTACATTGGATATGCCTCTGCTAAGAGGTCAAGTTTCAAGGCAAAAAGGTTAGTTTACCTGTACTGATCTGTAGGTGGTAATGAAAGGCAGCATAATGTGATATCCAGGACCATTGGGAGAAGTCAGCAAGGCTCCACCTCTGAAACAAATACAAACAAATTGTTTGGTCTGAGTTCTCAATGTCAGATTATCTACTGATCATAACTAAGAAGAGTGGATCAAACAAGGTGACAGAAAGGTATTTACTAAACAGTAAAATATGTATTCACTTGTGTTTTTGTTGAATAAATCTGCATTTAGTGTGCTACTGTCATTTTTTTTTTCTTAAATCTCATGAACACTAACAACAATCAGTCTATATTACTAGTGAAGCATGTACAAATACAGACATTTGGAAGCCTATGATCTCTCTGGTCAAACAGGTCTGGGGCATAGAAAATGTATTTTCCACAAACCTGGCAAAATATATATATATATCCATCCATTATCTATACACCGCTTAGTCCTCACTAGGGTCGCGGGGGGGCTGGAAACTTAGGGTGAAGGCAGGAGACACCCTGGACGGGTCGCTAGTCTATCACAGGGTTACACCATGCACAGACACACAACCATGCACACTCACATTCACACCTACGGACAATTTACAATCACCAATTAACCTCAGCATGTTTTTGGACCTTGTGGGAGGAAGCCAGAGAACCCACGCTGCATAGGGAGAACATGCAAACTCACACAGAAAGATTTGTTTTGCAATATTTCTGCCAGACACAGATGTATTGGAATACCTGTAGTAGACAGCAAGGTGTCCTTCTTCTATTTTGTGAATAGAGGAGTGCAACATGATGGCCATCACTCCTGCTATAGCTGCAAATACTGCCCCTACATGCGGCATCGTCATCCTTACTATCACTCACCTGAAGGCAGAAAAATAAGCACAAACAAACGGAAATATTTATACCACAAACATTAAGTCTTCAGTGCACCATTATACCTATTATCAGAATTGCACTGCAGTTGTGAGCAGCAGGACATGCAGCTGTCAGTTGCCAGCTGATTAAAGGAAACCTTGCTAAAATTAACGCAGTGTAATGCAACAGATCTGCCATAAAGTCTTCCTTCACATCCAGCTTTACTAGAACAGTTTAAGAGGTGATAGACTCTATGATCAAAGTTTTGGAGCCTGGAGTGCATTTGAACCGCATTGCATAACACAGATGTATTATTAATATTTTAACTATCCTCGATGTCTAATATTATACATGTACCTATCAATAAGCCAGTGAGATACAAGAAGGGCAGAAAAAATATTTGCACTGAGTAATGTTTGACATAAAGGAAGGAAAGCGTTCAACTTCAGGAAACCCTGATGGTACAGAGGAACTCAAAACATTTCTTTCTCTGTATGGTATTGCGTTATGGAAGCAATGTTTGACAAAAGCCCTAAGATTGTTTTCCTCCTCCTGTTGGGTTGTCACTCTGTGGATTCTTTGCGGTTTCTTTCATTTATACAGGATGATCAGAGTCAAAATAAAACATTACACATACACACCACAGCTTTTCATATCTGCAGCTTGGCATCGTTATATGGCTCTATCAGTTCTCCACGTCAGATTGACGATGAACTAGTAAATGTACAACGTAGGATAACCTGACTTGAACACAGGTGCACCCACGTTGACTGGACCATACATGTAGTTAACATTTTACGTTGGTTAAACAGCTAACGCTAACACGCACGATGAGCTTGCAGAATTACTTTAAGGAGGCATGCGGCGAGAAATTCCTCTGTCACCTTATGAAGCAACACATTCGCTTTAAAACTACGCTTTTTCGACGTAACTATCACAATTTTTTTTTTTCAGTAAAAGCGGAGACTGGGCCACCATTCGTTTGCTAACCTAGCTGGCTGGGTTAGCTAGCTAGCTAGCTTCCAATATCGGGTGGGTTCGGAAGTCACTCTGCAGCTACATGCTAACTTTAGCTTGCTAGTCTGCCAGCGCAAAGCAAACGAGTGAACTCACCTTGCACTGCGCTCAGTTAAAATTATCAGCATGTAAGCGTTGGAGTAAACGACGGGTTTATGATAAATAAAATTACCACTGAATGGATCCGTCTCCCCTTCTGGTCTTATCATTCAACCACCCAGCCCCTTCACCCCGCCTCCTCACCCACTCCTCCTCCTCCTCCCACTGCTTTCGATCTCGCTTTGACTTGTTACACGATGCTGCCTTCAGGGACTGTTGGACAAACAGCAGTTAAAACGGTTGTAAAGGGGGGCAACGATATAAAATCCTCCAACTATTTCTCTCTATAAAATCCTATTAAATCATTTAATTTGACAATGATATACAACTACCAGATGCGTTCGTCAATGTCGTTATTTTGCTGACGCAAAAATAAAAAAATCAGTCGCTGGTCAGTTGATTAGAGACCAATAATTTCCTGAGAGCCTGGACTGTGCATTATATTAAGTCAATGGGACACAGATCCAAGTTATTTTTATTCCTTTCTATGCTGACTATAAATACAATTAGCAAGCGAGCCAGATCATTTATATATAGTATCGTATTACACACAGAGGTCTTTGAAAGAGCTTTAGATGTGTAACCAGTTGTTTCTGTACTGTGTTGTGTGATCTCTTTAATCTACATACTTATTTCCATACTATTAGATATATCTGTCTTCTAACCAAATTCAGTATAGGATAATTGGAACCTGGGTCTTATTGAGTCCACTGTGTGATAAGTAAAAAAACACAACCAGATTCCTATACAGTTATACATTTGCAAAGAAACAAACTCATATAAAAAAAACAAAACTGCTTGAACAAAGAAAAATAAAACATGGTCTATTTGCCTTACATTTATAAAAATTTATTTACATTCCATCATGCATAGTTGGTTAGCAGCAATGTTTTACTCCAATCAATATTATCAGTTAAATAAATACACCATAGCTACACTTGGAAATACTGTTTACTATTCAATAACATATTTTAAAGTAAAAACATGAATAGTTTATCAAATCATGCTGTTTCATTGTATTACAGCATTACATACATCTAAATGACACAGTCTGGAATTACAAAGCTTTCAGATAGTGTAACTCTTGTAAGGCACTTTTTACAGTAAAGAATCTTTGGCCAGTTTCTACAGGTTCTGAGCTTCCACTTTCACTGAGTCGTACTGAGTCCAGCTCCAGTCCTGTTCCTGGAGACACAAGAAACATGTTCATGATGTAATATTACAAACACCATTCTCCATTTACATTTCATTCATATTTTCATGTTGTACTCCAATCCCAACCTGCATGATCCATGACAGACTGAATGCAAGCAAAACACCAGCACACAATAAATAACACAAGCAACAGTGATTGTGATGATACTTGCGATAATGAAATAGATTATATTTAACAGTGAACAGGTGTGTCTATATACAAGCAGTTACATCAGGAATCTGCATATATGCATGAGCACATTCCTTCACACATGGATACCATACCATGACACTGTGCTCCATCTCCTGGGTGGCATCTTGTAGCAAAGCAGTGAGCTGACTCAGATAACGTTGATTTTCATCCAGTAATTGATGAACCGTTTCACTGGAACAGAACAAGAGACTTAAAATTTACTGCAAGTCTTCAGGTGAATGGTCATTTTTGACAGTCCATATTCTACATGCCCCTTGACTTTGAAGCCATTGAGCGACCTCTTGTGGTAGTTTGGTGATTGATTTGTAAGCAATGCAGGAGATCATACAACTTGTTATACAGTGTAGAGGTCAGTGTGTTACTCAAAAAACAGACACAATGTTTTCATGTGGCTTTTTCCCTTCAACAGTGTTTTTTGTTTTTTTTTTTCAAATACAGCAGTAAACATACTTTTTTTTTTTTTTTTTTTCAAATACAGCAGTAAACATACTATCAGCTCTGTGACACTTCCAGCAGAGGATTGCAGCTTGAAACCACTTACCTGTCAGCACGTTGTTTTCTAAGTGCTGCACATTGAGCACTGCCCTGAGCCTAAAGACACATACACACACATTATTAGCTACAGCGTTGTTTGGCTTATACATTTGATTGTGTACTTCAGATCTTTAGCTACATTAAAATGATCATTATCATTAAAAGCTTGGAGTATTTTCTGTAGTGCCATTCCTTATATGCTTACACAGACAATCCTGAGGAGGTACCAGAACTCCCTCTGTCTCTTCAGTTGCATCTGCATCACTGCTTCCTCTGCAGTTTTAATGTTCTCTATCGCCCTCTCCAACTTTGGGAACAAATCCACAATACGTTGCTTACACACCAGAATTGTGCTAAAGAAAAAGACAACAATGGGGAAAACAGGAAACTGTAAAATGATACCTCAGTGGTGCTGACCTTTACATGCTTATGAGTAAATCTGTTTGAACTAAACTTGCAGATAAATTACCTCAGGTGAGTGTACAAGTCTTTTAGTACTCTGTCCTGGTTCTGAACTGTCTGGAGTATAGTCTTCACCATTTCTGAGCTGTCACTGTAGCCATGTGGAGGGTCAGGACCTACAGAAAACATACTTCTTATCATCCATGTACAGTCGTCTGACACAGTGATGTAAACAGACATGACACACTATTACATATATCCTGCTTTTTTTTAAGTTACAGCCACTCTGAAGAATTAGGGACCCTTTAACCCATTTGATCAGTGAATACTCCTACATATCTTCCAACTTATTGATTACAACTACATTGTATCCATTATCTGATTTCACAGCACTACTGTTGGTTATGTACAAAAAAACAAAAAACAAAAAATAGGAGCCCCGATAACCGATGTATAGTATCATATTGCTGATACTAACTTTTGCATTTAGTTTTCAGTTGCTTGTAGAGTTCAATTGCCTTTTTTTCACTGGAAACAAAAAACAAAGAATTAATTTGTGCAAACAACTGTTACTGTTAAAGGATAGGTTACAATCCATCTTAAAGGAATAGTGCCCACATGTACATTGAAGTCCCATTCAAAAAAATATTCCAAACTTTTTCTGAAGATAACATAAGGCTTTAGGAGTCTGATTTAAACAAAATAAGTGGGAAGTTACTTTCTGTTAAGTACCATATTCTTTCTTTATATTTCCTTGCTTTGCAGCAAAAGAGAGTAACACAAATGTCCCCAGTTACTTCCACTGAAATCACTTTAGGTGTGGATTATTAATAGGAGAAATAATTACAGTAATAAAAACGCAGTTTCAATGTACGTATGGACACCTGACCACAGATAGAATTTGAAAATGTATGAGCCGGTCCTTAAAAGAAATGACGATAATGTAAGTACGGTATGACAGAGATACTGACAGTTGTTCCATCATGTCCTCCTGTCTCCTCGCAAACGGACTCCTCTGCAGCTCCACAATCTCAGAATGCAGAGCCACAATCTCTTCATCCAGATACCCCACATCTGCAACCTAATGGAGAAAGCCACTTAGTATTACACTATCTGTACATAAATGAAAGTTAGTTTGTGTAGCTTTGCAACTGCCCTACCTTTGTAAACCCATCAGCCTTCTCTTCATTGTCCTGCCATGACTTCAGCATTTTTTCTGAAGCTTCAAACGAACACAAACAGCAGATGCTTCAAGAATGAGTTAAAACTACTGAACGTATTACAACAGGACATTAACATCCACTCACAGATGCCGGTGTTCCTCTGCCTAGTGTACTGCTCAAGGTCTTGCTGAATGCTACACTTAAAGAACCCCAGTTTGGCTCGGAGCTGCTGCGACTGGGAGAACAGCAGGTTCTTGTACCGCGTTAAGTTGGTGTTGTAACGCAGCAGACTCAGCCTACACACACACAAATTAAGAATGTTTGACTGCGTGAGTGTACGTATGCATTAGGGTGTGTGTGTGTGTGTGTGTGTGTGTGTGTGTGTGCGTGTTTACAAACTTACATGGCAGCTCTCTGTCCCTGGTACAGTCGAATGTAGTCCTCTTTCAAACCACAGATGTAGCTGACTGCTTCGCCCCACACCTTTTTAAGAGCAGACAGTGGCAGCTGTGTCTTAGTCTCCCTGACTGAGACAACACATGATGCACAAAAGATACATGATTTCCACATTCATTCAGACAACACATTTAAAGCATGTACTTGAACTTTGCTACAAACACCATCAAAGATCTTCCCCCTGCCATTTATTTTATTCCCCTATTGTAAGCAGAGGGTGAAACTGAAGAGGCATGTTAAGAACATTATTTTACAGCTTGGGACACAGTCAGATATCTCACCTATAAAGTTGACACTGTCTGGCAGAGGTCTGGCAGTCAGTGGTCCAGAGTACTTGGTCAGGCTCTTATCAAACAGGAAGACTATGAAGGTGTCCCAGCCATGCTTAAAGAAGGGATTCAATATTATTCTGGATATTACTATGTGATTCTAAATTGTCCGTAGGTGTGAATGTGAGTGTGCTTGGTTGTCCGTCTCTAAGTGTAGCCCTGTGATAGACTGGTGACCTGTCCAGGGTGTCCCCTGCCTTTGCCCTAAGTCGACCCTAGTGAGGATTAAGCGGTGTATAGATAATGGATGGATATTACTATGTGTGCTAGACAACGTTCAATCACTGGTTAAAACATACAAAAAAAACCACTGGAATCTTAAAGTTGTATTTTACTACATTTTTTAAGTATGAACACAAAAAAATAAGAACGGGAAAAGCCCATTCTTTTTACACGAAACAGTACTGTGTAACTCAGAACTACCCATTATTTCACAACAAACCAATATTTTTAAAATATGGAGATAAGAAACAGTAGGTGCTGCTATCCACTGGTACATATAAACGTGACTGCATCTGCTTGACATTAGATATTTCTGTGTGTGTGTGTGTGTGTGTGTGTGTCACATACCAATCCATCTGGCAGACAGTGTGCAGGTGGTCTGCGTGGGTCGAGGGAGATTCCCGTCTCCAGCAGCAGCTCTTGACTCAGTGGGGAGATGTGTGTCTGAGTGTGGGTCTCCAGACGAAGCTGCAGGGAGAGTAAGTTCTCCTCAGCGCCCAAAACCATTGAGTGCAGCTGTGCTGACGTCATGTCCAACACATGGATGACCTGGGCATGTGAATGTGCAGAATGCTTTGATTACTACCCTCCAGTCTTGTGTCATGTGCAAAACCATAAAAGCATTCCATAAAATGTGGTTTAAGTGAGTCTACATACAAACAAGGTTCATATTACTGACCTTCATGTTGAGAATATTCTGCAGAGTGGTGAAGCAGTATGGCTTGTTTGTGTCGGGATCCAGAGCTCCACCGCGCATCACAGGGTCCCACAGTAGCAACATCTGCAGAAGAGACTCGACTGGTTCCAGCAAAGGCCTTTGAACACACAGACACACACAAACACACAGACAACCATACACCCACACACACACAGGATAGATGCTAGTTAGAATTAAGCATGCTTGACTGCTAGGTACAAAAAGGTGTCTTTGGTCTCTACCTGCTGAGGTTGTTTGGATATGGAAGATGTGAGGAAAATCTGACTTCTCCATTCATGTCCTCTACTGCCATGATGTCTTTGGGACCTTTGTTCTTGACTTTGCTTGTCCTACTAGAGCAGAAGAAACGCAGCCAAAGACAGAAAACAAATCCATCAAAGTGGAACTAGAGCCACAACATGCTCTTAAACAGGCATACTGACTTTTACTTTGCCTCCACCTTCAATACAAAACTATTGTGCAGTTTTAGAAACATGAAGTTGTCGCATCCACTGCATAAAGAAGTGTATGTTATACATACAGCTCTGAGAAATAGCATTAGCTATAAACTCTTTGTGCACCACATCAGTTGCAACATTGTTGTACTATGTATGAATGCATTGTCCCTGTTTAATAAATTAATACATTTTCATATCAAGTATATTTCCGGCTTATAGTCTCTCTATAATGCTCAACATTAAATTTATGGTAGCTTTTTCCATTATCTTTATATGATTGTCTAATACAAAATGTTCTGTCTAACATTTTGCTGTGTTTTATTTATTTGTGTATTTATGTACTCACATAGGACAGGGCACGATAATAAATATTGACGTAAGCAACACTAGTGCAGGCGTGCAAAAGATTAGCATGACAGCTTATTGTCTTTACATTATACGAGGTGTGTCAGAAAAGTTCCAGGACTGGTGTCACAAAAGATATATTTCAACTCCAAATTCCAAGTTTTCCCCTTCGACATAATCCCCCTGGAGTCTAACGCACTTTCCCAGCCTTCTCTGCCACACCGCCATGCACTCCTGGAAGGATTCTTCCGGGATCCTCCACAACTCCGTCGTCACAGCCATCCTGATATCGTCCATATCTTCAAAACGGGTCCCCTTGATGAGCCCCTTGAGCTTGGGGAAGAGGAAAAAAATCCCACAGAGCCAGGTGGGGTAAGTAGAGAGGTTGCTTCAGCACGGCGATGTTCTTCTCAGCCAGGAACCTTTGGAATGCTCAGGGCATTGTGAGCAGGTGCGTTGTCATGGTGAAGCAGTCACGACTTGTCCTGCCACAACTCTTGCCTCTTCTCAACGAAGCAAACGCTGCAAGATCTCTTTGTAGATGTGCTGGTTGATCGTCTGACAGGTAAAACTCGTAGTTTGGGTTTGAAAAACTTGTGACACCAGTCCTGGAACTTTTCTGACACACCTCGTATATGTGTATTTATATATGCAGACATCATGCAGTGTTACGTCCTCCAAAAATGTGTGTTCTATGTTATGCTTATGCCAAGGTGCTTCAGTTTACCGACAAGAGATGCATCACTAGGATGTGACTCACCATTGTACAGGCTGCATGTGGTGCAGAAAGGGGCGAAAGCCACAAGTGCATTCAAAGATCACTGTTCCAAAGCTCCAGTAGTCCACAGTTACAGTGTAGGGTTTACTTTCAAACAGCTCTGGAGCCTGTCACATTTATAATAACAGGGCATGATTGTTGACATCCTGGAAGAAAAAAAAACTGACCACAGAGGAGTGCAGAGATGATGCAACACTTACCAGATACTGGAGAGTTCCAACAAAGGATGTACACAGACTGCCCTGTTCCAGGTCCTTAGCATAACCCATATCTATGATTTTATGGACTAGCTGGAAGAAACATGTTTTCATTGTAAAAAGCAAGGCACAGAAAGCTTTAGAATGCATATAGGAAATTTCAGATTACAAAAGGCTACATGCACGTCAGAGGCAAATTAGTTTACCTTCCCATCAGCCTCTTGTAAAACTATGTTCTCTGGCTTTAGGTCTCTATGAATGACCTTATTTTCATGTAGATACTGGATACCAGAACCTGTGTTCGTATAGAAAAACCCCATATAAATTATGCACCAACATGTGATTATAGAGACCTGTTGGCAAAATAAAAGCTGATGAAAACTTTACCAATGTCACTGAGCAGCAAAAGGACCTCACTCTCCTTCAGTCCACAGCAATTTTCTGGTTTACTCAGCAGCTACATAAAGAGGCACATCAATTAAGTGAAATGCTTGAAAAGACAACAAGTTGTTTAGGGTTTTTATGAAGGATCTATTTTGTACCTTGCGTAGGCTTCCTCTCGAGCAGTACTCCATGGCCAGCAGCGGTATGTCATTTAAAGCAATGGAGCTCATTTCTTCTGGTACTTCTTTGACCTGGACAATGTTCACATGGTTCAGCCTGTAACAGAAAAAGCTCAAAACATTCTACAAAGGTTTGACAAAAACAAAATGTGCAGTGAAAGGCATCTTTGTCAAGACCAGCAGATGATGTACACTCACTTCTTCATTATCTGAATCTCTTTGCACCAGCGGTCTTTTTTCTTGGAGTCTAGCTCCAGGCGGCAAAGTTTCACAGCAATCTTCGAGCCCAACTCCTGCTCCAAACACAGACAGGGAGTAAAAACAATGCCAATACACATCTGGGTCTGGAACTTGGGCTTTCCTCAACGGGTAACAGAACTTACAAGGTGCTGGTACAGGTAGACGTGCCCAAAGCTTCCCTTCCCAAGTTTCCCCTTCATCTCCCAGGAGCCACACAGCTGGCTCTGTTTGGGTGCAGTCTGCTCCATAGCCTGAGGCCTGCTGCAGCCACTGGGAACAGTGCAAAGGACCTCTGCTAAAAAGAGCCACAACAACAACAACAAAATATTTTTCTACCCAGGTAATACTGGTCCTCACTGTCGACCTCAAAGCTTCTTTGTTTCAGACTTTTCATTTGAGCATATACACAGCCTGTGGCACCGCAATGTCAACCAGCAGGGAACACAGTGTTATTGTTGAGTAACACCAATGTTTGTTAACTTTTTCTACTTTATTTCACATGGATAATAAAGCTTAACATATATTTAACTCTATGTTTTAGCAGTGTTTACTGTTACCTTATTAGCTTCTTATGTTACTGTTTTTATTATATATTCCAGTGGTGTAGATGTTTATATTTTTCTTATGCAGTAGCTAACAAGTAGCCAACTGAGGGCTGTACTACGAAGCGAGATTAGTGGGTTATCAGGTATGTTGAGCCTAAAATCAGAGTTTTCAGTGTCACAAAGGTAGCTCTCTTTTTACCTGTCTAGATCTTCATGGTAACTGATGCTGTGGAGCTACATCTCCATGGTAACTTATCCTGTGGAGCTAACCTAGTCGGGAGCAGGTTATGCTCAGAGTTTTCGGATTTAAATTGGCTGGAAAGAGCGTCTCCCTTTAACCAACTCGTTTACTGACTATTATTTATGAGCAATACAGATTCTCAGCTGAGGGAATGTGTTTTATCTGCAAACATGTTGAGCTGTGTTACTAATATCACTGAATGAAGCCCTGTAGTTACAGTATGACACACTGTAAATATCATGTTGCCATGGGAACCCGACATGTTTTTAGTTGGCGATGCAGAAATCACTTAACTATGTTTTTATGTTTGGCTCTGATTTGCTGTCAAGTCTGTTTACACTGCTGGTACTGCAGCTGATAGAACACTGGCATTTATTACAGAGAATATTCAATCAATAGCATTAATTTCTATGGATGTCCGATATAGTTTTTGTTTTTTTTCCGCCAATATCCGAAATGTTGATATTGTCCAACTCTCAATTTCCAATTCCGATATCAACCGATATCGAAACCAATATATGTTTGTTACTGCAGCCCAGTTCTTTACATGCTTCATGATGTCGTTTTATATCGTCATCATTTGCGTGCAGGTAAATGCCGGTGAAATCCAGGCATTATTTTATCAGTTTTCATGATAGGCAAAAAACAACAACAACAACAACAAAAAACAAACCATAACGCTACTGACAGATATTACATTTTTATGCCAATATCAATGGTGTAATATCGGTGGGCCGATATTATCAGACATCCCTATTATTTTAGCTTTGATTTGGCCAAAAATTAAAGTGATATCCTGCAATATGGGACAGTATCAGTGTCAGTGCACTTCAATACAAGATCATGTTTAAATATATTAAGTTTAACTTTAACGTGCAGCTGTCAGTTGGAAACAAGCGGCTGCATCGGCAAAATATTATACGTTAACACATTTGACAGTTTTCTACCAGCATTTCTGTCTTCCACCATTTAAAGTAGCTTTTTACCATCATCATGTTTTTATATTCCTCATTGTTCTCCATTTAAACAACCTGTTGAGCTGTACACGATCATTTCATTTTGTGCAGAATAAGAGTCACGTGACGCGTTGAACGCCTCTTTTTATCATAGCCTGTATAAAAGATAGCTACCGTGATGTCACCCGTTGGTTTCTGCACTGAGAAAATGAAGCCAGGGTTTTGCTACTTCCTGGCTGACATCGTGGATTTTTGGAGCCAGTGCAAAAATCGTCAGAGGGGGGCGGAACCATAGGAGCAGCGATTGGTCAGACAGATTGAGAGGCAGGTCCTCTCTGCCCGCCCACATTTACCGCCGATTTGACTATGAAAACTAATAAGAAAAAAAATCCTGAGCTGTAGGAATGCGGTATTTCGTGATCTGTGATCACTTCTTTTCCAATTCAAGTCTATGGGAGCCAGGGCTTTTTGGAGCCAGCAACTAGCGGACGTAGTGGTATTGCAGGTTTTTGACACTTCCGGGTTGGCGTCATTTTTCAGGGCCGGTTGCTAGTGTCCATCTTTTACACAGTCTATGCTTTTTATGTGAACGCGCACAGAGTCTGAAGCAGAAAGTCTGAGTTGACAAAGAAAGTTGAAAACCACCGTCGTGATACCCGTAATCTCTGGCTGGGGCTTTAGTTTTTATCGAGCCGGCTTACACAAAGAAAGCCTGGCTATGTCTAACTTGCTTCATAGTACAGCCCTCAGGTCATTTGTTGTTGTAGGACTGACTGCGTTGGGTTCAGTGAAGTCAGATAATTCAAAAACAGCTTGACTATCTTCGACAAAATGTCTACTAGAGCAACATATCAGCCCACAAATGTAACCTACTCACCCGTGCAGCAGGTCAGAGTCTTCAGGTGACAGCTCACTTTGTGTCAGAACATTGTTGCTGCAGAGTTAGCTAACCGCGTTGTTTACGGTCCGTGTTCTTGTTCAGTGTTTAAGTAAGAAGACTGAACCCGCGAAATTACACCCTCACCCTACGACTCCATCGAACATGGCTTTAAAATTAAAGTTTATGTCGTGGTTTTGTTGTAATTTTGGGTGGAAATCCTCTGCGAGTGTCACACAACTCAATATGTGCGTAAAGTGAAAGTACACGCTGACAGGCAGGCGGTGCGTCTGCGCATGCGTGTGATCTGGTTGCCTGTCCCTCTCGGGGGGGAATTTCCTGTTGCCCCGGGACATGTGCTGTGTTCACGTCCTGTCCTGGCCGTCCTGCTTGGTTTTTATAAAGTGATGAAAATGTCCTGGTTCTGTCCTGTAGGAGGCATACTTTAAATGTATTTAAATTACAAGGCATCTTTGAGTAAACTCCAAGTGTCCTGGTTTTCGGTGATCAAAACATGGTCACACTGAGTTGGCCCACCTCACTTTTCTCCTTTTACCACCAAAGCTGGGCCCATCCCTGGAAGTTAAGAATGAATATTTCCAAAAGTTTGATGATGTTTTAATTTGTTCACTAGGTGGTGCAATAGGCACATCTTCAGGCCTGATCCCACACAATGACTGAAAGGGACAGATGTGACATTTGCTCAAGTACTGAATTTATTTATACTGACTGTATTTTGCTGGCAAATGCGGAACATTGTCAATCCTCTACAGCTATCTTAAAGCTACTCTGTAGATTCTAATCATTAATACAAAATGTAACCATCTAATAAATAATTATGTTTTATAGCTCAAGCTATACTGGCTTAAGTTAAAGTGCCCTTACAAGCTCCAAGAACTGTAGATGCACACACACAATACATCTACAGTTCTAAACCAATGATACAATATATACTAGGAGTGAAATTAATTATTGCCACTGTTGATTAATCAGTTGACCATTTTCTTGATTAATCCCTTAGTTGTTTAATTTATAAAATGTCAGAAAGTGGTGAAAAATCTCAATTATTGTTTCCCAAAGCCCAAAATGATGTCATCAAATGGTTTGTTCACAACCGAAAGAGATTCAATCTACTGTTGTCGATGAGGAATGAAACCAGGAAATGGTCAGTTTTAAGAAGCTGTAATTTAGATTTTTATTTATTTATTTATTTTATTTTTTAAATATGCAAACCAATTAATTTATGCTTAACCCTTTATGGGGAAAGTGACCATATTTGGTAACTTCCTTGAACGTGCAATGTGTCCACCCCGTGCCTCTCCTTGAGGTTGAAGAACCATGTGCACTTTGGTTTAGTTTTTATATTAGTGCCAATATCACTACCTTACGAAAAATGTCACAAAACAAATGTTCCAGGCACTTTACAAACACTTTGTTACTAGTTTGCATTGAACTCCACTTTGATTTATTTTTTGAGATTAGTGCCACTACCCCAAGAGAAATGTTACTAAGTGAACTTGCCAAGCACTTTATAAATACTTCTTTTCAAGGAGTGCCCTATAAAGGGTTAAAGTAGTTACCCAATTTTTTTAAATAGACAACTGATTGAATGATCATCGCTCTGATGTGTACAATATGATTTCCTTGGGATACTTTATGCATCATTTGATCTGGGTGCTTATGTATTGGAGTTTATGTATAAACTTTCACTTGTAACTGAGTATTTCTACATGATGGCATTAAAGTCTTCTTTCAACTCAGGTTAATATTTTGTTTAAACATATAGCAGCTGAGGAGAAACAAGAACACTTTTCACCATAAATAAGAACCACAGATTTTCACTTTCCACATGAGATACATCATTGTTATGATAAAAAGAGCAACTTATATTCAACAGCTTCCCTCTGAGTACCTTGGGCTGCTCTCAGTTTGTCAGAAATGTCATCACATTATGTGAGTTTTTTTGTATTCACTGTTTACAATTACAATATAGAATAACAGTGCATTAAAAAAAAAAGTTGATATCAGTCAAATGTGATATTTATATATTATCGACATCCATCAACATGTGCAATAAAGTAAGAGAAATTTTCTGTGAGAGTGCAGCATTTCTAAATCTTTTCAATAAACCATGAGGTCTAAGTAGACTCCCAAAATTGTCACTTAATCAAGAAATGTCACAAGATGTTTTCAGTGGTAGTTAAGGGCTGATGAAATGTGGGTCAGCAGAATTAGTCACAGTGAAGCAACATTCATTGCAACTTTTCTTGCATTTGTTATTGACGTATTTATAGGTCCAACCATTCGTGGTACCTGTTTTAGTATATGTTTATTGTATTTATTCTCACCTTTTTCTCTCCACATGTTGTGCTAATAATCAGTCATTTAGTCAATTCATTTAGTTGACAGCTGACTATCAAGAAGTCAAAGTGAATCTAAACAGGCTGCTGAAAGAAAACGTGCAATATAAAAATATATACGTATATTTCTAATCAGTTTGAAATGAACCGTTTATGATTATTAATGTGTGAACTTAAATGGAAGTATGCAGGTAACAAGTGCTTCTCATAAGTGTTTGTGGTTCCAGTTTAATATGAAGTAGTTCTTTTTTTTTATCATTGTGCTGGAAAAGAGAAGCAGACAGGCATCTTAAATATAGCAACCAAAAACATGTGACTTGAAATCCCCATCGCTACAGCATTGAGTGGTTGAGGTGAGGCAAGTGTGAATAGTTTGACGTGCGAAACTAAACATTCTCAGTGGTTAACTTCCTGTTTTATCTCACCTGAAGTGGCCAGAATGTGTGATGTTTAGGCCTAGTGAACGAGGCCACACTTCAATCCAGATAGAGTGCATTCTGCAAAATGTGCTCTCGTTTTATAGATCATTAGGGTAAAAAATTAAACACAAGTCAAACTGCCAACATCTTTTTTTTTTTTTTTATTGTGTCCCTCCTCATTTTCTCCGTGCTGAGTCAGAGTATTTCCTGTGTCTGCAGCTGTACAGAAGCTCCTACATTCCGACCCTAAAGTTATAGCGGAAGAGCAAAGCAAATAAAAACTAATGTACAACGCAGCTTCTTAAAATCTGAATATGTGTGTTTGCAGGGATAGAAATAGAAATCCTGCACCTATGCTCTTGGGAAACTCGGATCCTTTAAAAAAGTATATAATCCCACTAGAATTTCTATAAGTGTGCAACCTCCAAATACACTTTCTTTGTAGGATTTGTGTTCTTTTTTTGTAAAACAAGACAGATAAAATCTTACTTTAAGCACAGTGATAAGCTTTATTTCAGTACAACTTGTTGATTAGAAATATTACTGTCAACAAGACGATAGTTAAGATCAAACAAAGTGAAAGAAGAGGATTTTGTTTAAATATTGACATACTGCCTGCACCTGCCTTTTCCTGTATAAAATAGCACTCCTCATTTCTTCACAGAATCATTGTTGCCTCTCACCAGATTAAAAAGGTAACAGTCTGTATAGGACTAAAATGAGGAAGATATCGATGTGAGTTTGGAGTCTTGAGGACACAATTTGGAACCTGACTGTTGTTCAGACTCGACTGAGGGAGTCAGAATTGTTGCGTCAAAATGACAAACTCAAAAACTACAGGTTGCAGCTGGCTTTAGCCACAAATATCCCGGGTTTCCCTGGGTTGGGTAAAATTACCACGTAGTTCTTGTTTTAGTTGAAACACCTGGGTGGAACTAATTGTCGGCTTTTATCATATAATATTGGAGTTGATACATTATTTCATTAAGAGTTAATTGTCAGTTGTTTCTTGGTTATTGTCTGTATTTATATCATCCAATGCAGACCTCAAGTCCACGAGGCCTTGAAGGAACGCGTCATATCTGGTTATTGTTCCCATCAAAGAGGAGGAAATGTGAGCAACACGGCCGTCACACTTATTGATGAGGTAATTTATGAGGGAAATTTTAGCTGAGGAACTCCCGTCCATAATTCATGACAATGGCTATTGTTTTAGTGGAAGTTTTGTTACATTATTATTATGGATGTGAAAAGAATGTTGTCCTGGAATACATCTGCTCTGTTATCCAAACCAGATTTTAGAATTGGTTTAACATTTGTTTTAATTTGTCATTTTCACAATATCCAGGAATTTGTGCTCTTACGTGGTCTTGACGATGCAGTTACATGATGTGCATGCCACAACAAGCAGATGTGGATGCATAAATCAGTACTGATGCAATGAGTTGTTACCGTATAAAACTGATGAGATAAAATATCATCCTAAGAAACAAATCCAGTGTTTTTTTAAGGTTTTATGTTTTGAAGTCTTTGTGACATTAGCCTCTTAACAACCACTGGCCTGCATACAGGTCGAGTAAAAATTACAAATTTCGAATGTCATTAGCATATGTCTAAATCAAAATATATATAGTTTGAAAGCACAAAGCCTCACAATCTAAATGATACAAACCATTTTACAATGCCAAGAGCACAGTAGCAGCCACAGCAACAATAGTTCCTTATGTTGTAATGAGAGTGTACAAGGCAAAATGACAGTTTCTTACATTTCCTATTATCTAGAGAGGCACACACTCTTTGTACCACCATATGTTGCACACTGTTTCCAGCTTTTTCGTGTTTTTTATTTGAAAATGTTTTGATGAATGTTAAGGGATGAAACAAATTTTGATGGATATTTAACTTTTTTACATATAAAAAAGGAGATCATTCTTAACAAGGATGCAGTTGGGAAATACTATCACAAGCAGTGGAAAAGTCACACTATAGAAACACAAAAACTCAAAGGAAAAGTACATCCCTGAGCATAGTCATTGTAGCGTGCAACAGTATAACAATTTGTATTGTACTTTTCCATATAAGTTTTCCATATATATAATAAAAGTAATATTTTTAACCCATGCATCTTATGGTTTGTTGGAAGCCCCATTCTCAAAGTTTAAATCCCATAGTACTACTTCAGCTGAATACTGTACAATAAAGGATTATATTATATTTTGCACTGATAAGAACTTTCTTGCTGCAGTTCTCAAACTACTGATGCCACTGATTACGCTGTTTTTTTTTTTTTTTGTCTCGTGGTTTTAATGTTCATGCGAACAGGCTCTGAACAGAAACCAAGTTCCTTTTATGTTTCTTATCAGACTCAAACAAGTCAAAGTACTTGGAAATCGGGTGTTTTCATCTCACACATCCCCTATTTTGGATATACTATAACTGTGTTTGCAGGGGAAGGGATGTGGTCATTGTGTGTGTGTCACAGGACATGACAAATTGCCTGATCAACAAATTGCTGATTTGCTCACCAACTGAATGTTGGTAATGTTTTCATATAGTCTCTTAAACACCTCCCACTTGTAGCTGTTGTGTTTATAAAGGGGAGGCAACACAGGGAGGATCAGCACTGTAACACCAGAGCAGCCAACAGTGTGAGTCCTGCTACAACTCAGGTGCACAGCAGAGAATACAGGGAGGAGAAGAGGCTCTTCAGCTGGAAGAAACAGACTTCATCAACACTTAAAGGCTTGACAAAAAGGTAAACACATCTCTGACAAAGATTCCTACAACAGTGCTGGCTTAACGAACTTCATAAACAATGAAATCTGATGTTAATATTCTAATGCGATAGAGCAAAAAAAAAAAAAAGATTAAATGAAAGCATTTATCATCAGACACTGTGCATTAAAAGTACATCTTAAATGATACAACTGTTTTCTTGTCATTATCAAGTCAACACTGTGTTCTAGGACTATCTACTAATTCAGTGTTGTAAAACTAATGTGATATAATAGTGTGCACAGGATTTGCTTTAATCAATCTCAATTGACATTGCGCTCACTGTGCAGATAGAGATTGTGTTTACAGAACAGAGCACACACACTGAACATCTTCTATCTGTTGCTTTCGCATTAAAACCTCCACAGCACAGTGTTTTCTCTGTAATAGTCAAGCACATGCCATCACCAGAAACATATGAAGAGTTTATTTGCAAAAACAGATAAATCAGTTTTTGTAGATTTTCAGAACACTTTTTTTTGTTTATATGCTTGAGATAATATCAGTCAAACTGAAGTTGAGTGGATTTGACTCAGTAGAAACGACATGGCAAAAATAGAGACAAGTTGAGCTTGATATTGTCTCAGCTAGATGATGGAAAAGTGGGTTTTCTGAAGGTTTGTGAAGATGGAGTTATCTGTTTTTGCAAATGAACTCTTCATATAGTGTCTGTGTAATTCTTACCCTGTGCTCAATTTTGACAATGTAAACCAAGATAATAATGAATTGTTTTGGATGCAGGAATCTTTTTTGGTTTTTAAATTCAGAGAAACCACATGTCTGTTCTGTCATGTGCTCTACGATAAGCTCCATATAAGGACCACATCCACTCATCCACTATTGTTACGTTCCATTTCTGTAATTTTCTTCTCCTTTTTCAGTCGGTTCTCAGACAAAAATATTTCCAGTAAGCAGAAGCGAAACCATAAGTCAGCATGAATCTGTTCGCCATCATCGCCGTCCTTGCAGCGTTCAGTGTCAACGTGGTGAGTAACAATGAGAAGGAGTAACTTCAGGTGGCACAGAAGATTTTGTACACCTGTTTGACTCAGTTTGTCTCTGCTCCTCAGGTCTTTTCACAAAGATGGTCTAAAAAGAAAGTAGGTAAAGAAGGTAAGTCAGTTGTCCAGGGTATAACCTCAACAGTCACTGTTTAAAAATAGACAGGTGAATTAAATGTCCTCTCCTGTTTTTATGTTGTGATCTGCAGAGTTGTGTCGGTCTGGGGATGGAAGCAGCTACAGGGGATTTATTAACAGGTCAGCAATTGGTCGCAAGTGTCTCAACTGGAACAGGCAGAAACACCTTAAAGGAGCTTCAAAGGGACTTGGCGACCATAATTACTGCAGGTATAATTCCAGTCACCAGTCTGAAGCCTAGATATGTTAAAGAAAAGTATCACATGTTTAATATCATTGCCCTTGAACACTAGGAATCCCGACTACAGTCTGATGCCATGGTGCCTCGTCCGAAGGCGAAGCAGGATTGTGAGAGAATTCTGTGACATTCCCAGATGTAAGACCAACATTTATAATTCATAGTATATTTTTTAAAATATTGTAGTATATTTATATACAATATTGAAATAAAAAATTGTATGTTTGATTTGGATTTTTCTCATTTGGTCTCTTATTCAGGCTCCAATACAGGCTCTAGACCAACAGTGAAACCTCAACCACAGCCTACTATGGACACAGGTAGTTTTGCTGTTTAAACCTACTTTCTCTTTTTTTTTTTTAGCGATTTCCTTTCATCAGCACTCACTGACTCACCCCGTGTGTCCTTCCAGAGCAGTCATGTGGCGAAAGGGTTGAGCGGAGGATGAACAAAATTGTGGGTGGCTCTTTCACACCCATAGAGTCTCACCCATGGGTGGCTGCTATCTTTCATAAGCGCTACGGTTTCCTTTGCGGTGGTTCGCTCATCTCACCTTGCTGGGTTCTTACAGCTGCACACTGCTTCACTGATGGGTGAGAAAACACACACACATACACACACACACACACACACACACACACTCAAAGAAATAGAGAAAAAACACAACACCATATCATTTTCTCCACTGTAATTATCCTACTATATTGGAAATGTGACTCACATAACATGTTTACAGGGTTGTGTGGGTATTTTAAAGGTTTGTGTTTTTTGTTTTTTTTTGTTCAGTGAAAACACCAAAATCCCACATCTTTCTGTATACCTGGGGAAGAGCGCTATCAATGACACAGACGTCGACAAAGAGCAGCAGTTTTTTGTGGAAAAACTGATCATCCACCAAAAGTACAATGACTCAAACTACGACAGTGACATAGGTATGCACAAGTATTGTTTTATGTTTGTATATATATATATGTATTTATGAGTGAGGAAGTTCTCTGTGTGCAGGACTCACACGTGCTTATCTTTACATTTGCAGCCCTGGTGAAGATCAAAAGCAGAAATGCAACCACACATGGAGGTTGCGCGGTGAGGTCACCGACTGTTCGGACAGTTTGCCTCCCTCCGCTTCACACTCAGCTGCCTGCAGGATTTTCATGCAGCATCGCGGGATTTGGGAAAGAGAAATTCGGTAACTACTGCAGAATTTTAACCTTTAGTCTCTTGACTGATCTCTCGACAATTTGACTGATTCTTACACCTGCCGATGTGATGTTCGCAGAGTCGCCACGATTCTCACAGTACCTGAAACAGGCCGACGTGAAGCTGCTCTCCCGTGCTGAATGTACAAGTGGCCTGCAGTATGGAAGCAGAATCACTGACAACATGTTCTGTGCTGGGAGCCCAAGTTGGAGCACTGATGCCTGCAAGGTGAGCACAAAGTCGAGTGTGTCGATATGCATGCATATTTTACAAAGCTCAGACCGTAAAAATAAAGAGAAAAAAAACTGAAGGCCTGTTTCTTGTGACATTCCATCAGTCTTGGTTTAAATATGGACACAAAAACAGAAGTGAGTAGGGAGCAGAAGTTGTGACATCTGAAGTGGAGTCAATTTCTGTGACCTTTGGCAACAATAAAGGATCTCAGGAGTGTTTCTTCCACTTCATGCGAAGAAACATAGAGTTTTAAAAGTGTTGCACGCCCTAATGTTAGACCTCTAATCTCTTTTTTTTTTTTAAATTCTTTTACTCTCTATTTTTAAGCCTTAACAAATGTCACTCCTTACAAGTTTTTAAGCTTTCTCTCATTTCTAGGATCTCATGAATATCTTTTTACAGTTTCTCTACATCAACATTTTTTGTATTTAGATTATTTTGAATTGAAATCACCATTCATATTGAAAACAAACCTTTCACTGATTGTTAGTTATTACATTGCACCTGAACTGACTTAGTGTGTAATAAAGAGCTGGTCACTCTACTATCCATACTGAATATCTGGAAGATCTGAATCATGAAAGTAAACAAACTTAAAGACATTGAGATACAGAGATCATTATTCTGTTTTTATTGACAGTCAGTATCCAAATGACCTTCTAAAAATGATCAAATGGAAACCTTGTTCATGTTATATTGATCGCCTGACCGTTCTTGCAGGGTGACTCTGGCGGTCCGTTGGTGTGTGAAGCATCAGGCCGGATGTTTCTGTTCGGGGTGGTGAGCTGGGGCGAGGGCTGTGGCTGGATGAACAAACCAGGTGTTTACACTCAAGTCACCAACTACAACAAGTGGATCGCTGCAAAAACAGGGCTCACAAAATACACGAGAGGATTGATGTATCCCCAGAAATGAAACTTTGGCACAAGGCTATCTGTTGGGCATTGCATATCTTTAAAGGACAATTTGGCAGCAGTTTTGTAAGCTCTGTGTGTATAAAAGCTTGTACAAATGTTGCAGGTTCGGTCTCAGGAGAAACTTAAAGGCGTTGCTGTTAATGTACAGTGAAAATTCTTTTGCACAGTCATAATTTGCTGCGACAGTTCTAAGTGAATGTTTTAAAATATCTTTATTGTACATAGTGCACAATGCAATTTTGTTACTTTTGCAAAAAAAAAAAAAAAAGGGTGTAGACTTTTAAAACAATTAAAATGTATATTTATCTCATGTAATTTAATAAGTATTTCCTCTTGTTGAAGGCTGGCCCTGCTGTTAAGTATGTTTGGTAGTAAATAAATACAAATTTTGTATTACATGGTCTTCATACTCATTTATCTCCAAACCACAATTGTTTCTGTCTCTCTCTTGCTTGTGCTTGCAAAGTCACGTAAAACAAAAAAATGTACACTTTTTTTTCACACTTACTGGCTTGCTTACAGGTCACATGTTTCTTTTCCATAAGCATATGCCTTACAAGTGACTACAGACATCCATCCATTATCTATACACCGCTTAATCCTCAGTAGGGTCGTGGGGGGGCTGGAGCCTATCCCAGCTGACTTAGGGCGAAGGCAGAGGACACCCTGGACAGGTCACCAGTCTGACTATAGACATATTATATTTCATTTATTAACTGTGCATGTGACAAATAAAGGGAGGGAATCTAAAATCATTTCAGCTCTTATAACATTTGTAAGGGTCTTCATCATCATAAACATTAAAATGTGAAATAACATCAATAATGTCACAACTTGTGTGAACCAAATGTGTCTAAGTCAAACTCTGGAGGGCACTGTTGTTTAGAAATGACATACAGGCAACTGTGTTGTGTTAAAAATCACAAAAAGTATGTGACACTGGTTGCATACATACATTGTCTACATGACTGACATCAGCTGTAGGTTTCATCTACAGGTCAGGTGTGCTGGAAATACAAATTAAAGGATCGACATGTATGATATAGGGGGATCTAATTGCAGAAATGTATTATATTATTCATAGTTGTGTTTTCATTAGTGTATAATCATCTGTAAAGAAGAATTGTAGTGGTTTTGTTACCTGATATGAGCCCGTGATGTGGTCATCTGCCATGATGTTGCACCACCATGTTTCTGCACAGATTGGACAAACCAAACACTGAAAAGGCCTTTTGCATTTGTAAGTTCTCCTGCATGCTTGGAACAAGAGGCTGAGGCGTGGGCTATTCAGGTGATTGCAATCTGTAGCCTCATTGCAATGCTTATTACCACTAAATAATACACAGTGATCCTTTAATAGAGCAGAATTTTTCAGTTGCTAAAATCCAGTTAAGTCAGTTTTCCCTTTAAATTGATTCCTCAAAGACACTTAGTTTAAAAAATATGGTGTTTTAACATTTAATCTAGAAATATAGTGTAAATTACCCCACCAGACGTCTATCAAATAGACTACAGCACACTTATCTTCACGTGCAGCAGTTCAACATTAAACAAAACAAATAATAATATATAGCTGAGTGGAGATGACCGATGACTCCAGCTTGTAAATTATGTATCAGAAAGCAATCTGGCTTTTTTCTCTTTTCTCTACTCCTAGTCTTCATTTGCATTTTACATACACAGCAACTACTCCAAATAATTCTCCCCATTGTTTAAAACCTACACAATGAAGCTGCCAGACAAAAAAAAAAAAAAAAGTGTTGGTGGAGTCGGTCTCAGGAATTTTGTCATTTGTGTCCCCTCTCTCTCGTGTGAAGAAGGTAAACAGCTACTAGAGTAGATTAATTGAACCGCTTCACATCTATTTTCTGTCACACTTCATTCAGTTATTCATTCTTTGTTGCGTCTTGACCTTTGCGACCTCCACTCTCCCGTTGTTAGAGAACCAGCCATTCCCCCTCTGCCCCGCGGTAACCTCAGCCCCTCCTGCCTTTTCCTGGTCACTTGACTCCCCACACCCACCTGCTCACCTGTTCTCCATTCCCTTCACAACCTCTACAGTTCATATACTGGCCCTCTTGCCCTTTACTAGAATGTCTAATGTGCCATTTGTAGCTGCAGCTTTCAAGCCTTTTTTTGAACCTGCCTCTTACTGACCTCCTGCATGTTCCCTGCCTGCCCCAGGTCTGACTACCTGACCTGCTCATTACTCGCAATAAATGTGAACTGTCTGAACTTTTTCCTTGAGTTGTGCAATGTGAAAATATTTCCTTTTCTGATTGCAATGGAGAGATACAGTCAGAGAGAAAGTTCAGGCCATAATTAAACACCATCAAGTAAAGATTAAAAGAAAAAAAAAAAGAATGAAAAAAAGAGGAAGAGGATGAGGAAATTGTTAAAACAATAAGAAAACAAAAGTAAAAGCTAACTCAAACATGCTCACAGTGACAACACCAACAGTCATGATGTCAAGCATGTGTGTTTATCTTGTTCACTTGATGTAATTCAGCATTATTACATTTGCTAATTAGCACTAAAGACGAAGCTGATGCCCTTTGTTTGGCAGGTTTTGTCATAAACCAAAGTACCCTGGACATCTTGAAACTGATTATCGTGCCAGAGGAAAATTCATGGGATAGCCAGTAAATAAATGTGGGCCACATTTCACACAAATGGATCAAATATTTGTTCATACATTTTACTAAAAACAACAAATGTTAACCTGCTGGTGGCTCTTGGGGGAAATTCAGCTAAAGTCGTTAAGATTCATTCTCAAATGGTGATTTCATTGCAACAAACAGGTGTTAAAGCATGTCAGTCTGGACCAACAGGGTACCATTGCCATCTACTAAGTGATGTTGCGGGGAGGAAGTACTTAGATCCTTTACTCATTTAAGACTACACTGTTCAAATACTCTTTTACAAGTAAAGCCTGGCATTTAAAACATAACTTATATAAAAGTAATGTCACGAAAATGAACTCGAAGTCCTAAAAGCTGAAGTACTAAAAGGATGAAAATGTCCCCTGTGACTACTATGCAATTCTACAGTCATCCTTAAATGTATTCATACCCTCCCCACAGCTGTCACTGACATAAGTTGAAATTGACAAACGTAATAATAAATAAAAATTTTATGAAAATCATGACATTGCTTTTGAATTGTGGTTCAACAGATATATATAAAAGAAGAAGAAGAAGGAGCATGATGGGACCCATAAACTAATATTTTGTTGAACAACCCTTTGAGCCAATCACTGCAATCAAGTGTTTTCTGTAACTCTCATCAGACTTCTGCACCTGTTGACAGGAATTTGGATTTTGACCCACTGCTCATCAGTAAAGTGTTCTAATTTGTCTGGGTAAGTTTTTTTTTTAATTTTATTTTTTTATTATTCTTTTCAACCACAATTCAAAAGCAATGTCTTATTTCACTAAATTATAATTTTGCAAATTTTTATTTATTATTATCTTTTTCAGTTTGTAGTTATTTGAGTGACTATTGTTGCCTTTTCTTTAATGGAAGGGAATGAATACATTTGAGGACAACTGTATATCATAGATCATAGATGCATTCATGTAAAAGCATTAATATTGTTGTAGATGGTTGAGGTGGCTCACATTTAGAATATAGAACTACAACTATTGATCGTTTTGTTGAAGGATTAATCTGCTGATTATTTCCGCTATCAAACGATTAGTGGTTTTGTTTGTAAAAATTTAGAAAATAGTGAGAAATATCGTCACGAATGCTTTTTTAACTACTGTCAAAACAGTTACCATTTTCTTGTCAAGTGACCATCTGATTAACCAAGTTATCAGTTCCGCTGTATTTGTGTAAACTGTTGAATGGTTTCATTTTCACCAAAATATATTTTACAACTTCTTCATTTGTGTTGCCTAAAAAATAAATAATTTCTAAAGTCACTAAAGCTGTCAGATAAATGTAGTGATTAAATAGAGTATTTCCCTCTGTAGTGGAAGTATGAAGTAGCACTAAAAGAAAAGACTCAAGTAAAGTATATCAAATTTGTACTTAAGTACAGTACTTTAGTAAAAGTATTTAGTTGCAATGCTTGGTTACAAACATGGCTAAAATTAATAAAGTGCCTAATTTTGTCAGAAGCACTGTAAAATGTGAAAGGTTATATTAGAACATAAGCAGTTCTAAATAATACTGAGCTCTGACTTCAGGAATGCAAATCCAGCTGAGGTCAGACAACTAGCACATAGTGTCTGTCCCAGAGTGAGCTGCAGTGAAAACTAAATACTATGCTATGCGTTATTTGTAAGAATGTAGTGTTAAGAATAAATATTTATTGCAGGGCCACTGCCCAAATGTAGCATTGCTCAATTTAAAGCAGTGTTACTAAACATGGTTCTTCTGCTCAGTGCACCGAGCAAAACACGCTTTGTGATTTCCAGGCAAGCCAGCGACTGACTCACACCTCTCTTTCTAACACCCCATACCCCCCATCACATACACCCCACTCAAAACACAAAATATTTCACAGGAGCTCTAAGCATCGCTGCTCCAGACCTGACAAACAGATTGATTATGGTGTCAGCATCCATGTACACACAGTCCAGTTGGTCATCACGTCATTACTGAAAGCAAACTTTAAAACTACCTCCAAGCGACCTGCTGCAATGTTTTCTATCAAAGTCTGTTTGGACAAGTCCACATATACAGATAGTTCAGAGCAAGACCACTAGAGCCAATCAGAGTCTGTCCTACCCCTCCTCAATTACTCACAGACACCAGTTTACTTTACTGCTTCTCGTACTCTGTCTGGATCCATATAAGGGTTTGAGATGCAGCGAGTATGACTCTTACTCCTCTTTAAGGACAATTCCTGAGGAGAGGAGAGGAGAGGAGAGAAGAGGAGAGGAGAGGAAAGGAGAGGAGAGAAGAGGAGAGGAGTTACAGGGTCTGTTCTAACTTGGAACACCAGAGTGTCCAGTTTGTCTGGCTTGGCTGGCGGCCTCTTGTCCACACACACTCACACAGGGGGGTCTCTTGGCTGCAGGTCCTTTGGTCAGCTTGGGGTCTCGAGGGTATAAATACTGCTGTTTTTTGCTGCTGGGGTCTCTGGTTTCCCCCAACATAGACTCAGATGTGAGGAGCGACCAAACCAGCGCAGATACACTCATCAACTTAGATAATTGATGCAACAGTAAGTGAGTTTCTCTCACTTTAAAGCACTTCCAACTACAATCTGTCAGATTGGTGGTAAAACAGCAGGAGAGTCAATCAAATTCAGTGCCTAAGTAGAAAAGTTTGAGAAACAGTGTGTGGGTGCTGTGATCATTGAGACTCCTTCTTTCAGCTTCAGCCAGCAGCAAGTTGAATCCTTGGTCTTTATTTAGACCTGGAGACATGAACTCCTGACCCAC